AACCGGACACTCCCAATAGCCGCTCTTACGTGCGTAGTAGGCGCAAAAAAATGCATCGCGCATGCCACACGACGCACTCGGCAAAATTTACCCCCCTCTTCTGCTCGTGTGAAGCGCTAGCATTCCTCGTGGGATTGGCCCCCGCGTTCATGTACAAACGGGACGTGGTGATGACGATGATGGGTTAGTAGCGCGATTCAGGGTTTGCTACGAAGTTTGTCCTGAAAAGAGTGCCGCACCGACAGCTGGGGTTGGGGGGAAGTGTTACTCTAACCAGTTTAGTAGGCATGTGCCCAACCTGCATGCATGGTAGCGACGGCGGCGAACATGCAGGAATCGACCAGTGGGAAGCGTCGGTGCATCGTATCACGGAGCCATGTTAGTTTCCTTTCTTCTTTCGTACCTATTTGGTACGCTCGTTTTATGCGGCACAGATGCGAAAAGGGATGTTGCTGACACGCAGCGGCAGCAGGTACGATAAAACCATGCCAACCAGACCTCTCTTTGCCGATGTGACAATCTCGCAGACTTGGGTAACCGGCTGCAAGGTAGCATTCTTTCTCGACACAAGCGCCGAGTTTCCCAACTTGCCGGGGGCGGAGGGAGTGCATGCGCATTGGAAACATGCAGGTCCTCCTCAGGACAAACAAATCCAACATCAATCACCCTGCTATTACCGCGAAGGGACAATGACAATGTGTGTGTGGGTGTGTGTGGGTGTGTGTATACGTGGAGCAATTGCTACGGTGCCAAGTTTACGGCCCCCTTCTCCCAAGCAAACGAGATTGGGCTGGTGCAAGAAAAAAGGAAATGGAATAACAATGGGGTCATTGCGAAGAGCCGCGTCGGCCGGAGAGGTGAGAGGATAAGCGACGGGACTCTCGGTTATGGAGACGCGGGCCTGAATGCGACCGCCTACCGGGGCGATCAATTTGACTGGGCTGACTTGCCCACCCACTTGGGAGACTAGAAAGGGCTGCTCGACTTTGAGAGCGGATTAGGTATGCCGAATTGGCATCTAGGCCGGCCGGCCGGCCGTTGGAAGGACCGCAGCGAATCCATTCTTTCGACATTGATCGAAAGTCGAACTGTCGGCGGTGGCTTGTGGCGGAGCTAGGCTGCATTTCGATGTGGTCGCCATTGTCAAAGCAGTAGCACTGCCGCTGGTTGGTCTCCAACTCGGTCTTGCAAAAAGTAAAGGTCGGGCCACTGGGCTCCCAACTTGGAGATCTGAAACACGTCCTGGCAGACCTTGCGCCTCGTTCACTCCGCATGGCGATGCTTGGCTTGGTGCAGAAAACGGGTTCTTCGAGCCTCCCTGAGAGGAACTTTGTGGCTGAGGGACGGCAAACCAGGCCATTCTTGGTAAGAAACCAACACCATGAGGCTCGCATAAACGAGAATCAGGAAAAAATACCAAGCAAAAAAAGCAACTAACCCTTGGCTCAAATCGATCTAGTCCCGTCGACCAGTCTCGTGGGCACCAGATTTGAGTATGGTGTGGCGTTCCCTTTTCGCCCAACTCGGACACTTTTTGTCTTTTCTTTTTTTTTTTTTTTGCGGCCCCCATTGACGAAGGATTCAGAAGTCGATTCACGTATATGCACCAGTGGTCGCAGAAAAAGTAACCCTTGACACATGCATCGATTAAAAAAAGAAGTCGAAAAAAAAGCAAACGAGCCCAAGTTGGCGGCCTTGTTCCATTCTGCCTCAAACATTTTGGGGGCGGATTATCGTCGCATTCGTGGGAAGGGAGGATTCTCCCGACCTTTCGTGTAAGTGCCGACTCGAGCTCAGTTTTCATCTAGATCAGCCGAGCATCGTCTCTCTACGAGAGCCCCATCCCTTTTGGACAAATCCGGGATGGCTATTTTCATCTTTGGGGGCGTTTCCTTCCCTCGTTTGTCCTTTTTCGAGTTCTATTCTGAGAATCCGGCAAACATCTTGTCGAGATACTTTGTCGAGGACCATGGTTCCGTACCTGTACTCATGGATCGTGATGCAGTTTGTTCCTTTCTCAACTGGAACAATGATTCCCCCCCTAAGGAAAAGGCTGATGATGACATGTCGTGAGTTTATTAGCCGAGCCATCTCGAGGCTATCGATCCTCTTGCATGCCGTGCGCAGGATGAAACAAACGCGGGGTCTGGGGTTTGCTTATACGAGACCTAGGACTCATGTTGGAAGCTGTAGATGGGTGTTGGAGCTTGGAGTCATGCCTGATACTGATGAAGGACTCAGAAAACTCCCCAATGAGTGCGGGAAACGGCTTGGGCTCTCTCCCTGTCAGGAAAAAAAAAAAAAGGATAGCTGGCCTTCTCTACCTCCGACTCCGCAGAGGTTTTCCCGTCTGGAAATCTCGTTCTCGTTTATGAACGACCACTTCACTTGGGATGATAGACGCTCCCACCATGTACGGCGCCTCACCCTCTCCACCGTACTTGCCCTGTTGGTTCTCTCCACATTCGTCTTTAAGATAGGGCCACTTTAGTCCCGAGGATTTCTCCGGCCCCGTTCTCGTGGGCAGTCACACAGAGAGCTCAACGGGCCGCTCCTATTGGAAGAAAATAGATTTGAAGTTTCTTTTTCGGTGTTGTTTTGTTATTCTGACTTGGCATCTTCCCGTCCTAGCTTTTTTTGTTTGGAAGGATTTTCCCGTGTAGTCCTTTTCTTACGAAGAATCCTTCGTCCTTCGCCCCTTCTCCACGGGCTTTTCTCAGCCATTATTGGTTCTAGATCACCAGGAACATGGTTTCTTCTCTTTCCCTCTCTTTATCTAGTCGAACGGGAAGGATCCAACTTGGCAGCCATCAAGTAAGGGGAATCTATCTTCTTTGTGGGTAATGAAGAGAGGTACGGTGTGCTGTGCCGTACGGCTGCCTGGTGTCCCACGCGAGGCCTTCCCCCCTTCTTCTTTTTCTTTTTCCTCCGGAAATCCGAGAGTACTATTATTACATGAGGGAAAATCCGGGGAGCAAAGTTGCTACTGGGCCAAGAGAGTGTCTGAATCCGCCCAGGTTTGATTAGGCCACCCTCTTCTTCCTCGCCAAAGGTTGTGTGTGTGTATATTGCCTAGACTTTTCTGTGAAAGCGGGAAAAGAAAGTCTAGCGCGCGCAAGTGCAGCATGAATTGCCAGCGCTCGTAACGGCAGGGATAAGTCCATTATGATGTCAAGCCCTTGGACAGTTTGGCAGGTTTCGGGGGAATGGTTCCGGGTATCCGATTCTATGGGTCCCATCACAGAGGCCCATGACCTATAGGAGGAGAGGAACTTTGCTGAAATGGACCTGGCCATCTAGATAGGACTGGCTAGAACTGGAGTAATGGGTGTGGTCGTTTACAGAGAAGAGGAAAAGGAGCCTGGAGGACATTTCTAGAGCAGCTTGTACCGGGTCTTAGACCTGGATGGCGCTATATCGGCTTGAGAGTCGCCCAGTCTTGAGGGTACCCCATCTCCAATAATTGATACTTGACAGACTTTCACTCCATCGTATAGTTGGTCCATCCTCCATAGCTTTAGAGCTGGGTACAACGGTGCAGTCACATAGGCGCCAGAATGATGGGGCTGCGGAGGGCTATCACCAACGTTCGTCTGCCTGGACGGAAGAGGACACACCTCCCCAATTCTCAAGTAGACATTCTCAATGACATACTTTAAAAAGTAGGGCGAAGTCCATCACATGAGGCCCCATAACTCCTCCAATAGAGTTGTCTCGGTCTAGGCAGATACTAAAAGCTGTGCCCGACCCGTGATGCGGCCGGGGAGAAAATCGATGTAAGGCGCTCGCAGCCTGGCCAAGCAGTGCTTCCCACTCGACAGCAAAGAGTACTAAATGGCCTTCCGCCCCTAGGCATCAATCCCCCCCCAAAAAAAAAATTGTCGAGACTCCGGAGTGGCAGGACGCCCGCCTGTCTCCAAAGGGCAGCATTATCCCGAGACGCGACCTTCTATCACGCCTTCACTGATGTCATGGACTTCCCGTGGTCTTGGGCCTTGTGTCTGGTCTCGGGACTATGCACATGCGCATATGTTCTGTTGGTGATGGCATTTGCGATCCTGTGATGTGTTTGTTGGTTCGACATGTTTCAAATGAGTTCGGGACCGCATCGATTGATCCTTTTGTATTTTTGATTCTGTTGAGTGTTTCTGGTGACGTCTGCCGAGAAGTGACCAAGATGTCAAAATCTCTCTTCTTTAATGTCATCCCCGAGGATAAATAGATAAATAAAAAAAGAGAAAATTAGTAGAAAAAAAAAGGAGAAGGAGGTAAAGAATGACTCGGCTTTAGGCCACTGGCATCTCACATCTCACTCTACCGATTTCAAGGACGGAGGATGACGCAGAGACCAGAAGGCCCATGTGGCCCATTCGTCCAATTGTTGGAAATTCCCCTGCTAAACTTGAACCGTATTAGGTATCTAGGTTTTTAAGAGAGGAGTGTGCGAAAATGATTCCTGGCAGAGCCGTCAAGGCTTCCCATTCTAATCTCGGGATCCCCCCACGAGGTCAAGGGATCTAGTGTGCGTGATAGAGACCGAGTTGAACACGCCCGACTCTCTGCCATTCTTATCATTAAACCTAAACGCTTCAATTGCTAAGGATATAAAAATAAAGAAGAAAGAAATAGAGGTAAAAGCGAACAGATCCCGCAAACGAAGCCCCGGTCCTCGACACCGAGTTCAGTAAGGCCATTCCAGAGTCGTGTCTGTCTGTCCCCCAAGTCGCAAACTCCCCGTGGATCCCCCGACACATGAGATGATACCGCAACAAGTAGCTAGGAAAGAAGGAAGAAGAAAGCATAAAATGAAACAAGGGACAAGACGCCATAACCGCCAACCTCATTTGACAGACAAACTCTGTTCCAGTAGAAAAATATACAGACTTTGAATACCCGTTAACATTACACATCAATCAGAGCCTTTTTCTCTTCTCGTTCTTTAGGGCTTCTTTCCCGCCGTTGTATAAAACTCTCACGGAAACCGTAGGGATGGGAGAGGATCACACGCCCTCCAAGGGCGTAACGGCAAACGAGTAATTAAAGTCCAACAGCCCATCCAACATCCAATGTTGGGGGTCAAAGAAATCGTAGCCAGCATCGGCGGAACCCGCGCCGGCGCCGCCGTAGCCCAGGGCACCCCCCATCATGCTCGTGGCCGCGGACACGGGGACGGAGAGGCCCGAAGCTCCCGGCGTGAGGGCGCCGTTGGCGGCGAGCAGGGCGTTGCCGTGGAGAGCGGGGTGGGTTTGCATTAGCGGCGCGTTTGAGTTTCCGCTGTCGAGGTGTGTAGAGGATGCGGAGGACTCGTTGGCGGAGTCAGGATTAGTGGGTTGTTTTAACGCTGGGAAGTTGTGTTAGTGTCGGATTCTCTCGAGAAAGTGATTGGGGAAGAGAGGGGGTGAGGCGATAAAAGGGATAATGATGAGGGAAGAGGGGGTCTTACAATCAAGCGAGCCTCGTCCAAGAGCTTGGTACTCTTCTCGCCATCGCCACACCGAGTCAAACACAAGACTCATGGAATGGCGACACCGCACCTTGAGCTGAAGGCTATCGTCAATCTGAATCGGCGAGTCATCATCCGTCGCACCATACCCGCCCTCAGGTATGGAGTCCAGACGAGCCCCGTTCCACATCTGCACCATCAGCTCGGCGAGGCGCGACTGGAGGTCATTCTGGACGACGCTAGTGGCGCGGATGGCCTGGATCGCGCGATGGAACAAGTTTCGTCCGCGCTCAAAGTCTATCGTCTTCGCAAAGAATGACCTAAGAAGCTTGAGAAGCGCGAAGCCGGCGGCGACGAGCATCTGCTGAATGTAATTTGTGACATACGGCAGGATGGAGCCGCGGAAGTCGTCCTTTAATCCGTGGACTGACTTGTCTGACCCGAGGAGCTCGTCCAAGAAGGCGGCGGTGGCGCGCCACAGGCCCATTAGATCGTCCATGTAGCCGGGCGTCGTGTTCGAGTCGAAGAATCCGGCTAAGCGGAGATGAAGGCCAGCTGCCCGGAGATGGAGGGTGGTAATGGGATTCAGCTGACGGGAAAGGACGGACGCTTGAAGCTCGGCGAAGTCACGGCGGTAGACCCTCATGAGCATCGCTCGATGCTCGTCACCAGCTACGCCTCGCGGGTCACTGACGTTGCTGTACATCTCCTTCGAAACCTTGTCGCAGAACCTCTCTATCTGCAGCCTGACTTGGAGCTCCAGGGACAGGCTAAGCGGCCCTTCGTCATTGGGTTTCACGGCGAGGGTCCAATCGTACAAAGTAGAGGCCGGCTGGCCGTAGCCCGTGCCGATAGACTGGCCGACGATATTGCAAACGGCCCACGTCGTTATTCGATCTTGAAGTTGCTCTCGGTTGAGTTCCACAGATACCCTGGAGAAGTCTTGAATGTGGTTGGGCCGATGGAGTCCTATCATGGTCGCCGCCTTCATCATGACACCGCACAGGATATGGGTGGGATCCGAGCTCGTCGTGCTAGTGGGTAGCGGCCAAGTACACAGCAGGCAAAGGGCCTTGACGACGAAGTAGCTCGTGGGTACGTCTCCGATGGTGGTCCATAGCAAACGTGTGAGGGGCGCCGCCAGCGACGTGAGCAGCGTTCGATCGGCTTGGTATCTCCGAGCAGCGACGGCGATGATAGCCCAAAAGAGCAACGGGTGTTGTTGGTAATACTGGTCGGGGGTCTGCTGCTGGTTGAGGAAAGGGAGGAAGGGATGGTAAAAGGCGAAGAACTCGGCAAAGAGGTGCGTCACGGCATCTTCGGTGAGGCGCACGTTTTCCAACTCGTGCGTGACGCGAGGCACGCTGTAGGATCCACCCCGCTTGAGGTGCAGCAAAGACGACACGGCCTCGTCCGATCCCATCAAGGAGGGGTTCCGAGTATGGGTGTAGGTGCTGGGAGCTATGGGGGAGTGGAGCTGCTGGTCATCGTCGTCTTCGGGCACGAAACCTTGGGCCTTGGCGCGTTGTATGTTCCTCCGCAGACGCTCGATTTCCTTTTCCATTTCGGCATGTTTACTGCGCTTGCCTATCCTCTTGAAGTTGGACTCTATCTTGCATTCGAGCTTGAGGCGGTTGCATCTTGAGCAGCTCTGGAAGGGCTCTTGGACCACATCGCATCGTAACTACACCGAGAGAAAGTACGAAAGGGTGTGTTAGTCAGAGCACCTCACACGGCAAGCTAATAACGAACGACATTGATCGAAAGGGCAATGGGCAAAGACAGGACATTGCCAACCCTGCCCTGGTGGTAACAGGAGCTGTATGCTTTCGTGGTGGGATGAAAGGCATGGCGGCATGACTCACCTTCTGCTGGCGACACTCATTACAGGCGCGCTTCACACCGGGCTGGCGCTTTTTCTCGGGCTCGGCATGGTCATCGTCATGACCGATGTTGCTGGCCGGACTGCTATCGGCGCCGGCCAAGCTGCCACGCTTCCGCTTATGTGCGCCATTCGCTCCGTGGCGGGCGTCTATCGGGCTGGTTGGGCTGACTGGAGTGACCCCGCCAGCAACCACGGGCGAACGGTCCATGGGAGAGCGAATGCGTGGGGAGGGGGATATACTTTTTGCTCGGGCGGGAGAAAAGCGCCGCGCTTCCTTTGACGCTCCCGAGTCGAGGGGTCGAGGGGGCGGGGTAAAGCACACAGCTCCGGTATTGGCGTTAATTTCCAGCTATTGATGCTGATCGCATCCAATTGTTCGCAGCGACGACCGGTCGCCGGTGTCGCGGATCAATGTTTGAGTTCGCTGAGTTGTTCGATGGTGCCGGAATGCGCAAGGTCGGCCGAATACGGAGGGGAGGGGGAATTGGGCTGGGCTGGGCTGTGTGGGCAGCAGATTGGGCGGGGGTTTTTCTTGGGTCTTGGGTTGTTGGGCGATGAGAAACAAGAGTCATCAAATGATCTGTGACGGCGGGAGACGGTCAAAGAGGCGCACAGTTGCAAATTGTGGGCACACAATGCATGGCGGATGGCTGGGCAATGCTTTTTTGACGCATAATTTCTTTTTTCTGCATTTTTTCTGCATGGACGGGTATTTTTGTATCCGGGCCATCTGCCAGGTGTTAGAGAGTGTCACATCCGCGGGCCCAGTCATCGGCATCTGCTGCGGGGGAATTGTTCTCTCTGATTGGGCCGTTATGAGGTCGTGTGATGGCACGTGACTTCCAAGGGTCACACCCGGATAACTCGATCGAAGGTGGGGGGAAAATTACGGGGTAATAATGGCGCCACTATTTTCCCAGAAAACCAACCGAGTCGAGGGAGCGCCCCAGGAATTCCCCAGAATTGGCATAGCCTGACCAAGACAATTGGACTGGGGATTTGCTAAGGTCACGTTTGTGCGGGTTATCAATCTATGCAACGACAATAACGGGGGACTTCTCCTTCGAATCCAACCCGATAGTCTCATATCATCCCATCACGCCCAGAAAAGCGTGGAGAAGAGAAGGTTCCTGCGAGGGGACTGTCGTGTGGTGTGCATGCTGTCGACTCGTTCCGGATCATCATAAAGCCAGCTGATCTGGGATCCAGGGCTCCTGAGCTTATTTGCACCTCAGACAAGTCGAGCTGTTCCCCGTGTTTTGTCCAGAACAGAGATTGAGAGGGTACCTTGTGAGGACAGCCCCATCCCTGCGCATAAGTCCGTGTTCTCAACCCAGTTTTGTACCCTTCATGTACAATGCCTGGGAATGACAAGGACAACGGCCCAGGCAGTCATCGCAATCAGGGCAAGTTCTACCTGCAGCCGCCGCCGGAATGGACGCCAGACAAGCCATACACCGAGTCATTGAGGCGGCGACGCGAGGTACGATTCGTGATACCGGGGACAAAGAAGAAGCAGACAAATCCAGGTATGTATTCTCCAAAATAGTCTTGATACTTTTTGTCCTCAGTTGGAGATGGCATATTGAGCGTGTGGTCAAGATGCCGTCACCAGTTTCAACTCCGCAGCCGTACCGCAGCCGTTCCTGGATCCAGAGGTTCTTGAGCGCTGGCGCCGTGACATGGAAGATGTCAAATCGAAGCCGAAGCCGAAGCCGTAAACGTCGCCCCCATCATTGATCGCTGTTCCTGCCAATGGCTTGGGCAATGTGGAGACCGTCTCAAACTTCCCCAAAGCCATTCGCCCGCCATTCGCCCGCCATTCAAATGCTGTCTTGGTTTAACTCATCAGCCACAATCTTGATTTCTTAGAAATCGAGGTTCCCGATGTGGAGGTTCCCGAAGGCGTTTATTGTTCCGACGAGTACCTCGCGCTTTCGAAGGGGCCGAACCAACTACCGGGATCCCACGCAGGTGCCCGCCCACAACCATCGCCGCCTTCCTTCCGACCATCACAGGGTCCAAGCTGTTTAAGGCCTGGTCCACTGCAACTTCGCCTTCAATGCAGCTAATAAAAATCCACCCCAAACCCCAAAACGTCAAGAAGAAATGCGGGGTCCCCTCATCTTGCTCCCACTCACCACCGAACACTCTCCACGGATCTCTAAATCGGTATTTTTTTATATGTAATCCTAGTCTTGCATTGATAATCGTTGTTCATTGATACCCACCTCCCACCTCCTGTCCTGCCCCCCAGTGTGGCAACTGTTGCTTTGGGCTGTCCTGTCCCCCCCTCCCTTGACGAAGGAGACGCGTCGCCCATTTGTTTCATATCCTAATTGAACGTTGCTCTGTAAATCTCTCTTCAAACCTCACCTACTCTCCATCTTGCCCATCTTGTAAAGCCCCTTGCCGTTCGTCAAGCCGTCAACGACCTCTACTACGAGAGACTGGATATTAGATACAAGAGCCCAGAGACCAGAGACTTGCGGTGACTTTCACACAATGGCTTCTTACACGGTGCCGTTCTTCTTAAACGGAAAGGAAATATGCGCTGAGCGCACCTTCGACGTCAGGTCCCCCCTCACCGGGGAAGTCATCCACTCCTGTTCTAGCGCCAGCACCCAGGACGTCACAAATGCCGTCGAGAGCGCCGCCGAGGCTTTCAAGACGTGGCGGAAGATGACTCCCTCCCGCCGCCGGGACATCTTCCTCAAGGCCGCCGAAGTGATGGAGCGCCGCAAGGACGAGCTGACCAAGAACATGGTTGAGGAGACTGGGGCTTCCGCTATGTGGGCTGGCTTTAACATTAGCAACACCATCGACATGATCAAGGATGTCGCTGGACGAATTGCCACGATAGAGGGTAGCCTACCGGCCACGGCGGATGAGGGGCGAGGTGCCCTCGTCTTGAAGGAGCCTTTTGGTGTTGTTCTTGGTATCGCACCTTGGTACGTCTATGTCCACATATTGCACGATTTTCTTTTTCAGGTCGCCCCGCATGCAATACTAATCCCTTGATAGGAATGCCCCTTACATTTTGGCCACTCGAGCCGTCGTGTTCCCTCTGGCCGCCGGAAACACGGTTATCCTCAAGGCTTCAGAGCTATCCCCCCGTACCATCTGGGGTGTAGCATCATGTTTCCATGAGGCCGGAATCCCCGCCGGCGTGTTCAACACCCTCGTTCATGAGCCCGCCAACGCCGCCGCCATCACCACCCAACTCATCGAAAACCCCCACGTCAAGAAGATCAACTTCACCGGCAGCACGGGCGTGGGCCGCATCATCGCCAAGCTCGCTGGCGAGCACCTCAAGCCCGTCCTCCTCGAGCTCGGAGGCAAGGCCCCCGCCATCATCTGGGAGGACGCCAACCTCGACCAGGCGGCCCATGCCTGCGCTCTCGGCTCTTTCCTGCACGCCGGCCAGATCTGCATGAGCACCGAGAGGATCATCGTGCACAAAAACATCAAGGCTGAGTTCGAGAAGAAGCTGGCAGCCGCCGCCGAGCAGATCTTCCCCACCACTGGCGAGGCACCTACGCTCATCGTCGAGGCCGGTGTCCAGAAGAACAAGAAGCTCGTCCAGGACGCCGTCTCCAAGGGTGCTTCCGTTCTCTTCGGCGATGCGCAGGCCGAGGGCCCCGCCAAGACCAGCATGCGTCCCGTCATCCTTAACAACGTCACGCCCGAGATGGAGATTTACCGCACCGAGTCGTTCGGCCCCACCGTCTCGCTCGTCGAGGTCGACAACGAGGAGGACGCTATCCGCATCGCCAACGATAGCGACTACGGTCTTACCTCGGCCGTTTTCACGGAGAACTTGCGTCTGGGTCTAAAGTTCGCGAGGGAGATCGAGTCGGGTGCGGTGCATATCAATGGGATGACGGTGCATGATGAATCGACGTTGCCGCATGGCGGAACGAAGGCTTCTGGGTTTGGAAGGTTTAACGCTTCGAATGGGTTGGAGGAGTGGGTGAGAACGAAGAATGTTACGTTTAGTTACTGAAAAGGTGGATATGCCTTGGCGGAGATGTAGGAATCGAGATGCCAGGTGATTTGGGAGTTTTACTTGGTTATGGCCCTATGAACGATCCCAGTAAATCGGATGAGTACATCAATTGATATATCCCTACTTTTTACGATTTTGAGAAATTTTGCGACTTAACTCAACCGCACAAGAGCTAGAAGGAAGTTTATGCCAACGAGCGTCGCTAGGAACGACATTGGTTTTGCACAGATCAGGGAGACAGAAGATATGAATGCAATGTTTAAGTCATAGGAGGAGGCGGAGGCTACATTCAATCTGTATTCTAAACCGGGGGTAGTAAGGCAGCATGGCCCCAGTAGGGATCGTGCAACAATAACCCAGCTTGGCTCGCTGGTCACGGCCCAGGCCGTCTTGGGGGGTCCCGACCACCATTTCTGGAAAAGTCCCCAAACATCAGACCAGTCTTTGCTCTTCTCGCCATTCCCTCCCGCATTCCCGCGGTTGTCTCCCCCCGCCTTTCGGGCCTTCATGAAAAAGAAGGCAGCCTCCCTTGCCACCTCGACCCACGGCCAGAGTTGGCTAAGCCATGAATTCTTGGTCCGAGGCCGTTTCTTCGGCTCAGGACGGGGCTTGTCGCCTTCCGAGTCTACAGAGTGGCTTGGCTCGGCCCGGGTCTGCTCCGTCTGACGCGGTTTCTCCTCTGACACTGTAGGAGAAGCCGAAGCCGAAGAGGCATTTTGCGACGGGGCTTGAATAGTTGTCTTGCCCGGATACTTCGGGGCAGCCGCAGGGGAAAATACTCGTACGAAGCCGTCTTGAACATTAAGCCTGATCGTCCCGGGTTCGTTGCTCAGTACTTTCGCAGCCTCTGTTTCATGCCACGGGATCTTGTCTGCCAATTCGCGGACAATTTGGTGCTTTGCCTGAGGGACGCCGCCGTATCGCTTCTTGATCATGGCTCTAATCTCTTCACAATATACAAACAGAACTTGGCTGCTGGATGAGCTGTCAACGCGTCCGGGCCGGATTGGACAGGAAGTCCCAGAAATCCTTCTGTTGATTGGTATAACAGCCATTTCCATCAGACCAGGTTTGCTATATCCAAAATGCCATTGGATAACTCAACCTGTAGTCAACTGCTTACCTGCATCTGCATTAAAGTTCGCGTTCCTCGTCGACGATGGGTTGAAAAGGCGAATCAGTCTGGATGTGTTCCATCCACTCAAAGGGCGATCGAAAGCAATGGTTCGCTCCCTGCTACGCCCGAACTTTAGTGAATCTACCAATCGTGTTTCACATGATGTGTGCTAGAGGTTGACAGTCGTCGAGCTGGATGATAAGGTAGCATCACTCACATCCTGCTCCGCTTCGGGCCTTCGAATCACCTTGAGATGGGCAGAAGAGGTAACTCGCCTTTACATCGCCAGTAAGATTAGCTACCATCCTCGCTTGATCTCCCTGCGCTTGCACAATTATTTCCCCGCACGCTTCAACAGCGACGCCTTCGAACAACGACCGCCTTGCATTTTCTCATCAAAAACAAACCAACGGCCTCCAAAACAGGCTTAAAATTCCTCGAATAGCACCCTAAACTGTCTAACTGTCAAAGGCCCATCACTGCACGCGATAATCAGGATTGCGCTGGACTCCTGTCTATGTGAAGCAAGACCGGACTCGCAGTCCTATAAATACCACGGCATAATGTCAAGTCCTGAGCCTCTGTGTGATCATTGTGTACAAATACCTCTTGATCCAGAAGAGCTTACCGAAGGCCGTCTTACCGAATATGAGCGCTGGTCTCTCGGACCGTGGTTGCGAATTCAAGCGAGCCGATGCCCCCTGTGCAGACTAGTGAAATTACTGGTCTATGAACACAATAAAACTGAGCGTCGCAATTTCAGCATGGAATCCTCCAAGGAAATATATTTGACTTGGATGTCCTCCTGGGGGCCTGGTAATCGAGGCGCGTTCAAGGTGTCCGAGGCTGGGTTGGGGCTGTTTATCTGCTTCGCAACCCAACCCGGTGGGCCGATCGTGACAGACAATGCCCACTATCTCCGGCACGCGGTATATCCGGAACTAGATGTCTCGAGAGTCACACGCTGGCTGTCTACCTGTGCTCAGACGCACTCGGGCAACTGCGTTTGGGAGCCAGAAGTTGCTTTTGGGGATGCTTTCCCCGGGCTCCAGGTTATGCGCCTTATTGATGTGTTCCAACAACGGCTGGTCGAAATACGTTGCTTGACTCGATATGCTGCTTTGAGCTACATCTGGGGTGCAGTCGACAACTTCAGACTCACAACGGCAAACAGGGGCCGCCTGCTGCTTCCAGGAGCCATCCAGAGCATCTTTAATATGATTCCCCGGACGGTCCAAGACGCAATTTCGCTCGTTCGGAAACTTGGAATTCGATATCTCTGGGTAGATGCTCTATGCCTCTTGCAAAATGAAGCAGAAGATCTAAGGTGTGGGGTGCAAGTCATGGACCAAGTGTACGAACGCTCCTTCTTGACCATCATTGCAGCCTGCGGTCACGATGCCGATGCAGGACTCCCTGGTGTTGAGCCAAACACGCGAAGAATGTCGCGTATGACGCGGCAAGTCAGGCCAGGAATATGGCTAGGCGTCTATACTAGCCTAGACAACTTGATCAAGGGCACGGTGTACAATTCTAGAGCCTGGACGTGAGTATATCCTCATGGCTCTTATCTCTGTAATAGCCACCAAAGTTCCAGGCTGACTCTAAGATACAGATTTCAAGAACACGTCCTTTGCCGGCGTGCACTTTATTTCGTTGATAACAAGATATTCTTTCGTTGTTCCAGCGCTGAATTCTCGGAATCGTGCCTCGATTATAGCAAGATCCGCAGGCCGGAAATAGGTCCGTCGATACTACTTACAACAGCGGTCCATTTGGAATATCCGCTTTCAGACTACTCGCAAATGCTTCTGTACTACTCTCAGAGGGCCTTGACATACCAAGGCGACGCCCTTCGCGCTATGGAAGGCATCATGCGAAAAGTATCGCACAAGGTAAAATGCGGGTTTCTGCAAGGACTACCGTCGGTGGCCTTGGATGCATTTCTCCTCTTTAAAGCTCACGGTGGCATTCTGCATCGCAGAGCCGAGTTTCCGAGCTACTCTTGGGCAGGCTGGCGTGGTGGTATAATCTTTGACTCCAGTGTAGACACGCTCGATGAGTGGCTCCCACATCAGACGTGGGTGGTTTGGTACAAAAGAAGCCCTTTGGGAACCACCAATCTCGTCTGGGATCCAGCAGCAAGAAAATCTACACCTATCTACGGCAAGGCTTATGCCAAAACCGGGAAGAGTCAGATCCTTAATAGTATCGTACCTCATGGAGTCAAGACCTCGCGGACAGCTCCGACAGAAGCCATCTCCCTCACCGCTAGGACCCCACCATATCCTCTTCTCCAGTTCTGGAGCATCTCTCTGTTTTATAAGCTTGGCGAGATGGATGTGTTTGCTGGTACATGTAGTCTGATTGGTATAGATGGGAAGGAATGCGGCAGAATGGCCCTTGACGGATTTGAAGAGACAACCTTCTTCAATTCTCAAGCATCATTCGAGGTAGTCTTACTCTCTGGGATGTCTCCCATCAACATAATGCTTCTTGAATGGAACAAGGGAATGGCAGAGCGGCGGGGAATTGGGACACTCGACAATGATAAAGTTAACAATGGCTTCCCGCCTGGTCCTCTGTGGAAGGAGATAATCTTGGGCTGAAAATACTCTCCGCTCACACTTATTCGGCTTTGTGCGAGCAGAACTCCGGGAAAGAAAAGTTTTATAGAGTTCATATATTGAAACTGAAATGGCTCAAGCGCCATTCATTTCTGAAGCTCCTAGCATGGCACCTCCGCATACCGGCGTCAATAGCAGGCAATATCCATCCTATCATCCAGATGTAGGATTTAAGCCTCTCATAGGGCGGAAGTCAAAGAAACAATTGAAAGAGGAAGAGGCGCGGAAACGGAGACCACCTCCGCAGTCGCAGCTCAGGAATCATGCGGAGAAGCCACCCTGGTCTCGGATGAAGCCCAAGATCGCGCATCTCTGTCACACTAATGGATATCAACTCCGTGTAGTCAAGGATATCGTGTGGTCAATCTACCAGTTTGGTGTGAGGTACGTTTCTCATGCCGAGTTGGTGTTCCTTTTTCTCTACTCCAAACCGCTTTAATTACATTTTACAAGGGAACATCCTGGAATATGATTCGATCTCTAACGTCCGAAAGAACAAGAAACTGACAATCGAATAATAGAGGCGACAGCCCATAGAAAAGCCGGTTCGCTACATGGCGCATTAAGAAAATCAACGGGGAAGGGGGTTCTGGGGATCGGCACAGAACCGGAGTTAAACATGCTCCCCCCCTCCCGTGCGAGTCCCTGGGAAAACTATGACGGCTGATGAGTTCGATGTTCATATGCACATGAACGCCAGAGTGCCGCGCTACCTTCTCTCACCCGGCTGAAGCATCACGAGGTCGCTCTGTACAGCGTGGATAGATTCATCTATGACATCTTTGACCCAGGCGCACGCTGGTCTGCTAATATATCAGGGTTCTTGTGTCCGGACGGGACAATAAGCCTAAGGACGTATCATTGGCGTATGCTCTCAGATCGATGCTATGACATTTCCTCGTTGATACGCGCCGGCCTGAATAGCAAGGCTGAGTCGAAGTTTGGGCAGAGTTCCTCCAGGAGCTCGGCGCCACATCTTGGTATCAGCACCCAGCCTTTATTGTCCAGTTCTGGAGTATATGCCTGCGTATCCAGGGGTTTGAGACACACATACCTCGAGCCAAGGCCATAGATCGATTCTTGTTATTGGTCAAGGAGGCACAGCCGGATAACCACCCTCTCCAACTGCTTGCGACGGCACTTGGCTCCGCTGACCGGACGGACCTAAGGCACATCCTCCGAATCAGCTATCTGAAAGCCATCCGGACGGTGACCGAGCTTATTGGAGATGAAAATGCCATGGGCCTTGATATATCGGCAAAGAGTCCCTCGACTCCACAGTTTGGAGACGGCGAGCGATGAATGCGCAAAGTGTTGTGCATCCATGCAGGGCGCGATTGGGAAACTAGAAAAGGGAGACGTGGAATGTTGCATTCGAGCGGCATTGCTGTCACGAGCGCTTAACCGCTGGTTTGTCGAATGGGATCTACTAGAAGAAGCGCGTATTGAGGGCTTACGAACAAGAAGGATCGAAGATACTATCCCAGGCAAGACATGTCCCCGATGCCTTCGTGAGAGGCACTGCAAAACATGCGCTCAGTCGCTTCGGGACTACGGGACGCGAGATGAGTCGTGCAAGCGCTGCAAGCCCTTTAAGCTATCTAGGCTCTGTCAAAGGTTCAGAACACGCCAGGCCACCATCGGATGGAAGCCTACAAAGAAATGGCTGAAAGAACAGAGAAAGGAAGAAGTAAGCGCTTCCGAAGCCGACCCAATGCAGGAAGACTACTAAAAGAGATGGACTTTATACGATTTTTTTCAGTGCCGCGCTCTATAAATGTGCGTTGAGCTCGTTCGAAACTTTACAGAAAGCCTGCTTTCCCATGTCGACAATGACCCTCATCACGAAATCAGACAGGAGTCGATCTCCGGCCCATGAGTCGCCGCTTTTCAGACCTCCGTGTAGGTTTTCTGTAGTTACAAGGCGTTTCGGTTTTTGGAAGGGAAGTGCTCGAGGATGTTCCTATGAAGGACAAAAGAAGTTAGAGTTTGAGACTCTGTGATTTATGTGGGAGAGGGCGCCCTGTCTTGTTGGCACAGTCTACTCAGGGACAGATAACCGGGCCTTGAAAGACGATAATGAGAATCCAATTCCTAGAACAATACCTCTCTTGATCACAGGCCGCGCTACACCCAACCGCCCGCTCTACATCTCAATGGGAGATTGGGGAAGTAGAAAGTAGCTATAATACCCATGTGTTAAGTTCCTCTAAATTAGGCGAAAGCAGGAACGTCTCTTCAATTAATGCCCTTCCCAAGACGGCTCGGATGTTGTCCTGGAGACTGACGAGATGGGAAAAGAGGGATCGCCCCCCCGCCGAAGCGGGAGGAGAAAAGAAGGGGTTCAGATGTTTCGAAACAAAAAAATTCTTGGGATGCGTGTCCGTGAGAGGAGAAGAATGAAGGGCCTTTTTTATGCTGCCGAGAGGGTGGGCAGAATCAGCGTATTCTGGGTTGATTCAGGGGCTTCCGGATGAATTGTAGATGCTTGAAGTAAAGAGATTCTGGAGTGAGGTATGGATGGGACTTGGTGGTTTGCTCGTGTTTCTAGGCAGGGGGAGGCTGGAGCGGCTCGGTAGCTTCGTTTCTTGGGAAGCAAGTCACCATTGCTTCGTGTTCAATGCTAGGATTGCTGGGGATGGTGTAAGTTATTTAAGTTGACGAGTTCCGTCCCCAAGTTCAGGGCGTCTGAAGCTCCCCGAAGAATCGAGCCTACAAACTGAGACTCTTCGAATAGTTTTCCTGCGAGGATCTGTCTCCTCTTCTTACTGATATATGGGGATCCCTTGAAGACAGCAGACTAATACGGCTTTCATCGCAACACAAGACCAGGAACACAACACAGAGCCACCATGAAATATCTGCTATCAACTCTCTTCGCCGCCACCCTCACAACGGCAACCCCTTTCCCCTTCCCCATCCCCGGTCTCCTAACGACCATCGACGTAACCAAGCCACCACCTTCCACTCTCTCCACCCTTTCCACATCAACAGTCTTCACCCCCCAGCTCTTCATCGAGGACTCCGCCGACTCCAAAAAATGCATCGAAAGCAACTTCGCCAACGAAACTACCGACTTCAGCGCCTCTATAGACGACTGCCTCTGCATAGCCCAGAATCTGGCCCTTCCCGAGTGGCGCGGCAAGTTCCTCCTGCGCCCCGTCGACGGGAGCAAGTTCGGCGCCACCGCCGTCACGTGTCGGAGCTGCAGCTTTGTCGTGAGGACCGACGATGACTTCGGCACGAACGTGGGTGCTGAGGATGTTAGGAGCTTTATCAGCGAGGCGGTCGAGAGGTTTGATAGAGGGGGTGCGAGGTTAGGGGCTAGTGGCGAGACGGTTTGTGAGAATGATAGTGGGAAGGAGGGGACGGGGGCTCTTGCGAAGACGTTTTGGTTGTTGGCTCATGTGCCGAATTGAGGGATCTTCGGCATATGGTTGGTGCCATGAAGCTTGTGAGGTGGAGTGTACGTGGCGGTGGACGCTCTACTTGGCTTCTTTCTTTCTTGCTGATCAGAGACCCGGATTACGCCCGTGTTCATCAATGTTTCTGAATGGTAGTAGCGCTGGAAAACTGAAAAGGGTAAAAGGATTCCTGGAAATAGGTATTCTGTTGTGGGAGGTCTCGTTTGTGGGAGGTCTCGTGTTTGTTTAATAGTTGCGCTTCTACTTAATCGCAAAGGTTCACACATATCAGACGGAGATCTTATAAAGCTTATTTACTCTTCGATATCTTAAAAGGTGTTTAGATATACCAAATTTTATTCCTGTAATCTAGCCAAGTGCGCTGAGCCAGCCATAGTGTGTTCAGAGTGTCTTCATGAGACTGCTCAAACGCATATCGCGAACAGTAACACCCATCTCCAAGGAACCCTATCTAACATATGAGCACGAAATGACGTCCAGACAGAGGCTCATACTTCAAGTTTCATTATCAGATTTGCCATCACCCAGTGAGTAGGTAGCCGGAGAATCTCTGCCTCGACGTAGAGATAACAAGAAGCAGAAATCACTCATACACCTGACACGAGCAACCAATCGAGCTTCTGGCGTGCGAGTGTATGACGCTCATTCAACGGTAAGTTTCTAGAAAGATCGATGACGCCTCGGGTTTCCTACTAATCTTCCCAATGTTTCCCAGGCTGTTTACCCCGAATACTCCAATTATGTGGTCCTATCATCCGCCCACAGTTGTCGACCGTCATCAGAGCCCTTCTGCCTAGATATCCCTACGGATGGGCCAATCCGTCGGAGCAGCCGCCCCTCCGAGGTGGTGAATAGTGGTTCAGGCTCATCTGTGCCAGGAGGAGATGATGATTAACAACGGCCTCATTCTATATAGATCTACAATGTTTCGCGACCCGCCCCATCCCTATTTCAAGGATGCCCAAAAGTATACCGTTCGCTATCACTCATTCCTCGCCCGTCCACACGGGACCAAGAGGCGGCGTATACTTTGCTGCATTTACAGGGTCCGTCCACTCCTCAGAGTAAATGTCCAAAAACACCAGGGGATCTATATCTCAAACTGTCAGCAAAACTGAATTCATTTCTTGCCTCATCATATCCCATCTCCTTAAAAAAACAAACACAAAAAGGGAGGGGGGGTCAACTCACCGTCCTCAGAGTACGCGCCAGGAAATTTATAAAACCACTCCTCGCTGGGCAACGCAACCCCCTCGCCCGTAACATTCAAGTGTGCGCACTCGGGATACCATTGAGGCTTATACGCGACGTGGATAGAGATGATCTCGTGGCGAATCATGTAGAGTCCCGGCTTGAGGTTTGAGGGGATGGTGATGGGCCATTGGGCGGCGAGACCTTGCCAGTTTTGGAAGGCCTTTTGGTACCATGTGCTTTCTGCCAGGCCGAGGGAGCCGTCGTCCACGAGGGCGGCGTGCCAGATCTTTAATAATACGATCACCTGTCAATAAACCAGATTTCTCTTCTTCTGATTTCTGTGCCTTTCTTACCTTGAACCAGTTCAACTCCTTCGGATCAACCTCCGCGCAGGATTCTCCGCACTCGGCAAGCCACACGGCCATGGGCCCCGTCGGATGCAGCCAATACCAATATATGGCTGTGATGTTATCGCCGGCAGCAATGTCGATGTAGGAAGAGGCCGAGGTTCCGGGGTCGTTGCAGGAGAGGTAATCGGAGTCGTAGTCGAAGACGGGGTCGATGGAGGCCCAGGCGCGTTGGACCATCCATGGTTGACCTACTTGTTCTTCAGCCGGGGCGTTGGGGTCGTAGCTGCGGGTTTTCCTTTTAGCTAGAACATCAACTTGGGGGGAGGGAAGAGTGGGGGATTTGACATTACCCGCGATACCACGTCTCGCCAACTGTGTAGTTGTTCAGACCTCCGTGGGCGAGGGCCCTTGCGGCTAGGAGCGCAAAGACGCTCCAGCCTAGCGTGGCAGCCATTGGGTTTTGAAAGCAGCCCCGTTTTCCGTCGCCACGCGTGTTGGCGATTTCAGAGGAAATTGGTGGAACGGGGGAGGTGTTGGGGAGGGCGACGGAGACACGAGAACAAGGGTGAGATGCTCTCAAGCTCCTCGTCGTCCTCTTCTCATTCCGATTTCCCGGGATGGTGAAGGAGAAAACCGGGATATTAACTTGAAGGAGCTAGATGGGGGAGGGCAGTGAATCTAAGAGGAAGCGATGTGTGACGACGACATGTGTCGCTTTCTCGGAAACGCGGCGACCGAAATGATGGGGATCGGAAAACACGGCGTATAGAGATGGCAGAGATTGTATACAGAACCGCGTGTGGAGGATGAAGATTTACGTTCGATCGGAGTTTACGGATGAAAATTTAGAATAGTAGGAGGATAAAGGGCAGCGTACTACTGTATCCTTTGTAACGAACCATGTGCTGCTGGCCCATGTATGAGCAGGCTATTTTTCTATGGTCTACTCTCAGCTCTTTAGACTAGACCTAATTCGGGAGGCAAGGCAAAAGGAGGGTTTGGACGGGTTTCTGGAAGGAAGTTATCATATATCCCGGGAATGAGTGTGCCGACTATCGGTGCCATGTCTGCGTGAGTCTCAAGAGGTAATCAAGGACACCGCTTCCCGCCTACCCCGAACAAGAAGGGCGAAATGAGAAACCGGCTCCCCGAATTGTTGTGGAGATGTACTACTAGCATTGGAAGGGGAAAGTAATAAAAAAAAGGAGTACGAGGCAATTGCATATATGAAATGGGGAAGATGGATGGCGGGCGGCGACTTCAGGGCAGAGAAATCGAGAAGCATATTCGGCACGCGGGTTTAATCAGGACAATAACGGCTATTCTCCTTGTAGGGTTCGTAGGGTTTGTGGGAGAGGAGATCAACGACGGGATTGTCCTCTTTGGGACGAGACGATGAGATTCAAACCCCTCATGGTCTTGTCTTGGGAATGGAGTTCTATGTGGGTGGTGTTAGCGAATACCACCTTTGCCTAACAATGAGAGGTCATTCCTACATTTGATGTTGATCTGGCTCTTGGTCTGCCCTCTTCACCTACTTGGCTGTTATCACCATAGTCGTCCATGAAACTCGGCCGGAGAGGGAGTGTCGCAAGCCCCCATTAATGCTAGATGGAGGTAACCTAGAAAGCAATATGATTTAGGTTCCTTTGGTCTGTCTGCTTAGAAAAAAATACGACATTGTCTGATATTAAGATGGATGCATATAGATATCAGTTCTAAAAGCTGCCCGATTCCGTTCCTCGACTGGGGCACAGAGAACCGAAGGGCGGGCAATATAGCGTTGACCATATTGGGCAGGATTGTCTAGAGATTACTTGGGTGTGGTAACGGAGAGTTGGACCATATGTCATTACAAGGTTCGGGGAAGCTGTTAGAGAGAAAGGAAGAGAAACCGAAGAGGGAAGGAGGCTCGAGGTCATCGTGTAAGTGTCGGCGAGGCATGAGGTACGTATTTGATAGATACACCGAACTGCTAACACGATATCCGATACATTAATATGCTTTTGAAATTACATACTAGATCCTCGATTGATGCAATGTGGTAGAGTTTTTTTAGCTTCTCTTGCTCCTTCTTCCCCGCATCATCGCCGAATCTGTCACGGAGAAAACGTCACCAGATAGATTAAAACTTTGGAGAACCAAGTCCCAAAAATCCGCATCGCCCGGGTGAATGGCCCACGGCCGGGGCATCGCGCAGAAGCCTTTTCTTCTTCTTCTTTTTCTTCCCTTCTTCTCTGGCTGTTTTCTCACTCGTGGAAAATTAAATTTCCCGCCACCTCCAATATGTGTAAGTAACGGACGAAATCGTCCCAACTCCAGCATACATGGTCCAAGAAAACCATCCTCACTTCGGATATACAAAGATCTATATAAGAGCCTATAGAGCCCCCCCTTCGCCCCAGAGCGGGCGGGTTATTTTTCATCATGCGTATCGACAATAGCCATATTATCCACATCCACACATACACCTTCAATCCCTCAAGATACTTGGGATGTGGACGAAGGGAGTCTGTCCGCCGAATGTAGATGACAGCACCGTCTACGGAGTACTCAGAGAGTAGAACGTGCCCAGCTTATCTTGTGCTACAATTTTGTCGACGGCTACTTATTTTGTAAACTCAACTTCCCTCGACAATGGGAGTCGGGGAACTAAAAGATGACGGACTTGTAACACATATTGGAAGTCTGTCATATTCAGGTACCGTACAAAGTGCCAAGAGAGGAAAATAGGAGAAATTAATGCTCAGAAACTTGTCCCGGCAATAATATCTTTGTACCCCAAAAGCTGGGCTTGATCTTACACCAAGGCCATAATGTAAAGTAGCCAGGCGATATGCCCACCCATATCTCCAGGTTCATGCCAGGGCCACGCGCACCCGGCATTACCAGACCGAATATTAATCCTGTTCCCGATAGCCAATCGATCCGGTATTCATATCGATATCCATAACTCCTATGATATCGATGCCAGTACTAGTGCCTGGCCTCGAGGCTCCCTCCCCGCCCCGTACTCTGCAGTAGAATAGGGCCAAGCCTGCAATACTCCAACGAGAACCGTAGTTCGAAATATTCCCATAAACAACCCTTCCGAATCGTGCCAAGACCCGGGTGACCGTCCGCCCACGGCTCCTCAAGAACACGCCGCCCCGAAAATCTCGCCAAGTGCCTCGTCCCATATTGGCCCCAACATGGCTTTTATATTAACATCCGGTAAAGAGAGAAAGATGCAGCCACCACGAGAAATCCCCACAGGACAAGCGCTTGCCTTTTTCTTCCTTTCCCTTCTTTTCCCCCTTGAACCAGAAACGGGGGCGCAATGAACTACTAGAAGCAAATAAACTTCATTTAAGCAATATCTCTCTTCTTCCCATGTTCCGGACAGGCGCAGACTTTGAAAGCCACTATTCTCTCCACGCCCCCCTCCTCACTAACAAGGCGGGGCCGCTACCTTATCCCTATATTTCTAGAGCCGGATTGTGAATTCTATACCACATTGTGCACGCAGAGTAAAGTATTTCTTGAGAGAAATAAAGAGCCTACAAGAGGCACTGCTAGCTTCCCCTCTCTTCTTCTCCTTCTTTACCCCAGCTCTCCGGTGCCTCCTGCTGTCCATTCCTTAAGCTCCTCCAGCTGCGTACCTAGTATCCTCTGTAAGCCTTTGCCCGCCACCAAAACAAGAAGAAGAAGAGCCCATCACGATGGTCGCCGCCTCCCTCGGATCCGCCGCCCTGCTCCTCGCAGGTGCGGCCCTCGCCATCCCCGCCAACAACGCCCCGCGCCAGGATGCCGCCGCCTGCGACGCAAAGGCCGCCCTCCCCACCAACGTCAACTCCAAGACCCTCCCCGACCCCTTCAAGTTCTGGGACGGCACCCCCGTCCAGACCGTCGAGGACTTCAAGTGCCGCCAGCAGCAGCTGCAGTACGCGCTCGAGCAGACCGAGCTCGGCGACTTCCCCGGTCCGCCCGACAGCCTCACCGCCTCCATGACAGGCCAGGGTCTCTCCATCTCCATCGACGTCGGGGGCAAGACCGCCACGCTCTCGGCCTCCGTCTCCAAGCCCGCGGGTGCCTCAGGGGCTGTTGGTGCCGTCATCGCTTACGGATTCCCCTCCGTCTCCGTCCCGAATAACGTTGCTACCATTACTTTCTCCAACGATCAGTTCGCCGCCCAGCAGGGTGGGAACTCCCGAGGTCAGGGGGCCTTCTACAATCTCTTCGGTAGGGACCACTCGGCCGGCGCCCTCGCCGCCTGGGCCTGGGGTGTCGGTCGTATCATGGACGCCCTCGAGCAGCTCGGCCCCGAGACTACCGGTATCGACCCCAAGCGCGTCGCCGTCACCGGCTGCTCCCGAAACGGCAAGGGCGCCTTCATCGCCGGTGCCCTCGAGAAGCGTATCGCTCTCACCATCCCCCAGGAGTCCGGCTCCGGCGGTGCCGCCTGCTGGCGCATCTCCGACGACGAGAAGGCCAAGGGCAAGAACATCCAGCACGCCGGCCAGATCGTCGGCGAGAACGTCTGGTTCTCTTCCCGCTTCAATGCGTGGACCAGCAAGATCAACCAGGACCCCGTCGATCACGAGGCTCTCGTTGCCCTCGTCGCTCCTCGTGGTCTCTATATCCCCGAGAACGATATCGATTGGCTCGGCCCCGTCTCCATCACCGGCTGCATGCAGGCTGGTCAGCTCATCTACAAGGCTCTCGGTGTCCCCGAGAACATGGGTCTCTCTCTCGTCGGTGGTCACAATCACTGCCAGTTCCCTGGCAGCCAGAACGCTGAGATCAACCAGTTCTGGGACTACTTCATCAACGGCGGTACCACCAAGCCTGCTCTCATCTCCAAGAGCAGCGCTACGGTCAACGTTGCCGACTGGGCTCCCTGGGAGGTCCCCACCATCACCGGAGAGTGGTAAATTGCAAGCAAGCGGGTGGTTGGGTTTCTAGAGTTGGTGTGTAGTAGGCGGTGGAAGCGGGAAAGTGGCTCATGACGGCGGGGAAAGGGTCTCAAGTTCGTCGCCTAAAGATTCGGGATCGGGATGTCTGTACCTACCGTATTAGTTTAACCTAACAATGTATATATGGGACGAGAAGTCTAAGTGTTGTATGAAAACCACATGGCCGAACTTGATCAACCAATTTCCTCCTTGTTTTCCTGTTTTTTCATGACCGAGAGTATTGTTTCATTCTCACTTTTGCTCCTTTTTTTTTTTTCTGTTTCTCCTTTTTTTGGCTGGTGTAGTTGTTTCAGTTCCTTCTCTTTCCATCTAAACATTGTAAAACATCAAGCAGAGTTAAAACGATCGAGAGAACTAATGGGAACAGGCCAAGTGCATGAACAAGGTTTCGTCTGAGTAGCTTGCAGCTTCAAGGAAGGTCAAAGGGCTTAATAGCACCAAGCCCAATAGTAAGGTCCTCAACTTGGCGTAGATCATTAGCAGGATTGGGGTGGAGATCTTTGGGCGGAACTGGCGACATAACCGAGACATTTATGCTCGACTTAAGTTATGCCATTTTGAAAATCATCATGGCGTTGCTATGGATGTAAATGACGAAAGCGGAGAGGACAGAAAAGAAAATGCGATACAATATAGGGAAATATCTCGATGTGCTCGCTAAACGTGGAGTGAAGCTGACATACTTTGTTCATCCGCCCAAGGCATGATCAAGGAAGAGGAGGCAACGTCTCGGAGGAAACGTCAATGCATAAGGTATAAGTGTATTCCTTCTTGTCTCCTACAGAAACTGTCACGCAGCATCGCGAAGGAAGTGGAGTCGGTTAACAAAAACTGCTGATCTTGGTGGAAAAGCAGCTCACTCCACACGATGTCAGAGTTGAGGTCGAACACATCAACCGTTGAAGCTTCACTTGCACGCCATACCCTTGCGCCGGTTTTGTTTCCAGTTGACAAGGGCCAGGCCAGAAAGGGCTCTTGGGGCAGATGTGGGTACACGTGCATGTGTCAGGAAAGTTATGTCGCAGTGTTGCGTTTGGCAGGAAGGGTGATAGGTGGAGGGGGGTCTGACGGGGGGGCCTTGGCTTGCCCCCCTTCCCCGGCATGCCCAACCAAAGCTCAAACAGTCGAAGCTCAGAAAATCGGATGGCCATCAGACCGAGAGTGAACAGGATGGTCCAATTGTCGAAGAAATAGTGGTGGGGGCAACTGTCAAAGCATGGGATCTGCGCCCCGAGATTCGACGGGGGCAGGGTTATGATGTTCTCTTAAGACGAGTGAGGGAGCGATGACCGCTTGGCCAACCAGTGGTTGAGGATCGATGGGTGCTCTTGGTAAGTGTGTAGCGTAAGTCAGTTTAACTACCGACCTCGTGTATGAGCATTGGATACCGATGGCGATCGTGAATCCAAGCAAAATGCTCTCCACAAGGTATTCATAGATCTCCCGATCTGAGCAGAGGGAAACACAAAAATCTGGCAGAGGACAGAGCGGAGTTCTGGTGTTGGCATGTGCCCGTATACGAAGAGACGCCAGTATATCACAAAACCATCTGGAATCTGCACTTTCTCTTCACCCTGGTCTCCGGACTAACCAATCCAGATCGGATCTAACCGAATAAGTGGGAGGGAGTGTGAGTGTCAGGCCGTGGCTGTGGGGAGGGAATTTGGGAGACATCAGCCAACAGGAACGAGCTGGCAAGCGCAGACCAAAAAAAGTCTGGGACGCATGAGAGAGATTCGAGGCAGATAAAAAAGGGATTAAAACGTCAGGTCGTTTCGAAGTGGGCTTGAGGGATGTGCGCACATCAGAAGGTTGACGCCCAGGTTTTGCTGCGTTTGGCTGGCTTGTAAGCTTATTCGTGAAGCGATGAGCGGCGCCAGCGATCGATCTAATCGAGGATGGCCCTGATCAAGCTGTCCAAGAAAGGCTAAACTTACTCTGAGGAGGTGAAGGGACGAAAAAAAAAAAAAAAAAAAAGAGAAACAGGGAAACAAAGGAAAACGGAGGTCGGGTTACTTGGCAGGCGAGTCTCGAAATCGTCTCAGATATCCCTGTTGACGCCGACGACACGGTTTGATCGGTGCGGATCCGAGCCTCCTTGGACCAAAAACGGCCCAAAACTTGGCGAGGACGTGTTCGGTTAAGTTGGTCTTCATCCAAAATTGCGCAGGGGCTGAAGAGCGATCCCAGTTCAAGGGAAACAAGCACAGAGTTTTGGGACTGGTACGTGGTCATGTGATTCTTTTAATATCGGTTCCCCGCACCGTATCGAGTCCTCTTGCTCCTAGTGCTTTCGCAGAGGGATGATGTATTAACACAGTGGTAATAATTCTGGCTCGCCTCTCCCAACTCTACGAAGTAGCTTTGTGCCAGCTGATGTTAGGTAAAGTAAGGGTCTAGGTATCAATACCCCACAATAATTGTTAGAGTGCCCACCCTCGTCTCAAATCTGGCCAGGGCATGTACCAATACTTCGCCTACGCCTCCCCTGAAACGCCAGCTTTAACCGAGGGAACCTTCCCGTCTAAGTGTCATGTCCCCCCAATTCTCGAAGTCCAGAAGGAGGGACGAAAGCCTCTCTGCGAACCTGAGGAACTAGACAAAATACGAAGTGGAGTACTTCGTACGTTTAATGTCAAGTACAAAACGGGAAAGGACTATGAATGATGTACCAAATGATGTACGATGGACTTTCAGCGAGATGAAGACGCGATAATCAGGGACACGATTGATGGGCCAGAATGCGTCTACTACTTAACCGCTGAAGATCGAGTCGTGATGACGAAGACACTGATAGTGCAACCGTGAGCAGGCCAGGCCAATACCGGAGCCAGGCCCGAAGGTCCCGTTTCTTCACCACGGAGAGACCGTAGCACGGCGTCCCTGCAGTGCAACAGGTTCGGCCTGCCAACCGGCTCTCAGACCTCCAGCACAGGGTCCTCATCCCCAGGACACAGGCTCGACGTCAGACGAGGCCACACAGCTGACCCTGTGTGTTTCTAGTAGTAGTACTACTAATCACGGCGGTTGCTCCTACATCCCCCTGTTGGGTGGAACATTCGATCCGTCGCTTCGACGCTTTGTAACTTGCTCGGTGCCTGCATCTGGGGTTAAGGATCGGGGCTCAATCTGGGATGGCAGGCCCCTTCTCCACACCTTGCTGGCCTGCCAACTTATGAAGTACGCATTGCCTCCTGACAGCGTCCCAAAATAGCGGCCTGTGACGTTCATGCCGTGCCGGTCTCAAGCATGACGGCCGTACTTCGCACCTGTATGATCGTCGCTGGGGGCTCTCCCGTCCATGGGTCGCCACTTCAAACTCCCACTTCTTCACCCACGATGCGATTGTCTGGGTAGGTTCGCAGTCCAAGGGCTGGATCTCAGCAATCCGAAGCGAGAGCACGGCCGTCGTCATGACCGAGTCCCCTTGGATCGCCCTCGACATCTCCAGATTGTTTAGCCGCCGTCGAGCTTGACGTCGCTCGAAATCTCTGTATATATATTTCGTGGTTTCCTATCGACGATCAACCTGGAATTCCTTCTTTTTTTCCTTCCCTTCTTCAGCTCAATCGACCAAAACCGTCTTCTTCAATTCTGCCTTTCCTTCTTTTGCAGTTCTGTGAACGCCCTTCTTTCGTTCCCTTCGTGCCTATACATTCTTTACTTGATCCAACTACACCGCCAGCCGGTCTTCGATCCTACGTTTCTTTACCACTTTTTTTTTGAAGTTTGAAAAGATTAAAAAATAAAAAGACAATATCAGTCAAAATGTCTGCCGCCAAGCTTGCCATCATCTCTCTCGCCATCGCCTACGTCGAGGCTCGATTCGGCCAGGAGGGTCTCGCCTCCGCTGCCGTCCAGGCTCTCAGCAACTTCGGTGCTCCCGGTGCTGCTGGAACCCTCTCCGGCCAGGTTCCCGGCGTCCTCCTTGCCGCCGCCAACCCCTGTGCCAAGGTAAGTCGAGTCCTGTTCCAGCATAGAAGAAATGAAGTCAAGTCACTAACAAGTGTATAGCTCCAACTTGCCGACGACATCGTCACCCAGCTCGGTGATGACCAGCAGGTCCTCGATGCCGCCATCGGCGTCGTTGCCGCTGAGCAGAACTTCAATCCCTTCGCTGTCGACACTGGCAACATTTGCGCCGATGCCTCCCTCCCCGCCACCGAGGCCCTCCGTGGTATCCTCCCTCTCTTTGACCCCGCCGTAGACGGCTCGGACATCGAGAACGCCAACTCGGCCCAGTCCGTCCAGACCCCCTTCGATGCTACCGGTATCTCCGTTGCCGAGCTCGCCATCGCTCAGGGCTTCACCAACTTCTTCGCTGTCGACGCCGCCGGTAACCAGGTGGACCTCGCTGGCCTCACCACCGGTGCCAACGCCGGCGCCGGTAACGGTGCTGCTGCTGGCGACGCTGCCAACAACAACGATGCCGCGGCGGGCAATGCTGCTGCTGATGATGCTGCGGCTGATGATGCCGCTACTGTAGGTAATAATGACGCTTGTGCTGGCGTTGTTACTGACAACGGGGAGGCTGCCGACGATGCCGCTGCCGACGATGGCGCCGCCGCCGACAACGGTGCCGTCGACTTCGGAACCTGCGACCCCACCATCTTCTTCGCTGGTGGTCTCGGCGGACGTCCCGACACCGAGTTCACCTTCCAGTCCAACGAGCCCACCATCGCCGCCAACCAGCAGGAGGCTCTTAACCCTGACATCATCGTCAACCGCATCTGCGACGACCTCAACAACATCTGCGGTGCCAACGACGCTGCCATCTCCGCCTGCCGCGATGCTCAGCAGCTCCTCAAGGACCAGGGTCTCGGTGTTGGCGATGGTGATGCCGTCGTCACCGCCTTCAACGATGCCATCCTTGCTGCTTAAGAGCGTGCCAGCAATTGGCTTCCGGTCGGCAAGAGTGTTTTTGAACACACATCTCTTATGAGACATGCAACAGAGTTGTGAAGAGCTCAAGAGGCAAGTTTTATTCGCTCTGCATCCTCGCACAAGAAAGAAAGAAAGAAAGAAAGAAACGCCCGTTTGTGTATGATCGTCAATGCCTGGGGAACCATCTCTCCCCGGCCACCCACGCAAGAAAACCATTTTTTTTTTCCTTCACTTTTTTGAAAATAGAGAAACATGTCTGTTCTTGTCCCCGGAGACAGTTTTGCCTTTCCGGATTGTTACAATGAAAACTTTTATGTTACAAATATGCAGCGCGACACGGCCTTTTGAAGGGAGGGAAAACTAGGCGTTGGGCAATCTGAGGGAAATATCATTTTACTATTTGGCTTTTATTCTTTTTCTTTTTCTTTTTTTCCTTTTTCTCTTCTGCGACCTTTTTTGTACCATCCTGACTTGCCTCTCTTTTTTTGGAGGGCAGACGGGATGAAGGTGTATTGTAACTAGACGGGTCACATCGTTAATCCACTTGGTCGAATCTCTTTTGAGAGGCATGAATCACCTTTTGCCTTACATACACATGCAAATGCTTCTATTTTCTCTCGGGGCGACAGCGATGTGGATTGTGTCAAGTCTTAAAGATCCGACCCTCATTCGTTATCTGTAGCTGTCATTCACATTCCCATTAGAAATGAGCTCTCCTGATTGATGCTCTTCCCCTACTCCTTGGTAAACATCGCGTGTCCATTCAGGGTTGCGTAGTCCTGTAGACATTCAAGTGCTCGAAGGGTAGCGGGTTCTGGTGGTGAGCACATGTAACGGATCCATTGGATAAACCGTGAGAGATCGGGCGGCGAAGGATACCTCATGTTTGAAATAAACATTGCACGACATAGTATGCATCTTTTACTTCTCGCTAGAGGGCATTACTTCTTTTCGGCCACGCTCGGCGAGCAAGCGCCACAACCGGTCGGTTCTAGTTTGGTCTTTCTAGTCGTTTGGATTTTTCATGGTAGTTTCCGACCAGACCTTCAAACAAGTTTAAGATCCTGATACTTCTTTCACGAGGCAATTCCTAGTAGGCATCCTTCTCCGGTCATACACGGGATTAGGTAGGGTATATCACAGTCCCCTCGCCTACATTTGACGGCATCCCGATACCTTTAGCCGAGAAAGAGTCCGGTGCAGAGCTATTATTTCCCGACGTGGAAATTGAAAACAAGATTTCGCCATTCCTAACCATATGAGATTGACTCAGGTCCGTTTCCCCCCTCGATTGGAAGGTCTGGTTCATCCAAAACCCCTTGCATGCCGGTGAGTCTCCCGCTCCCCACTCAGCTACTTTTTGTCACGGATCACGTCTTCTCCGTAGGAGCGGGGGAGGGAGCTACGCTAGACAACTCGAGCTTGTGGGTTGAGATACTGGATGGTAAATACCGGTATATTATGGCGTTTGTATGTAAGTGTTGTTTTGGAGAGCACTTTATGCAAATGAAAGGATCAATGTTAGTCGGGCTCGGAGTTATAGAAGAGAGAGGATGCCGTCTTCCAAGTCCCTTTTCATTTCATTTTTGCAATCACGATTGTCCTTTATCCCAGCTTGCTATTCTGGTTTTACGTGAAGAGAATAGAACGAGGAGAAGATAAAAGGTTATGTTTACCATCAAGACTTTGCTTGCGCTTTGCGCTGCTTCCCGCGTGCTTGCCGGAGCGGGCGGTGATAGTTCCATTATCGCTCATGAGGGCGATCCGATTGGTGAAGAGGTCACTTCTGGCGATCGTAAGTAGATCTCCTCCGAACTTTTTAATCCTTCTTTACATGCGAAGTCATAAGTCGGCGGTTTTGATGCTAAGATGCTCGCGCAGTCACACTCTACGTCGCTCAGCCCGAGGGCGAGTATGGAGACGTCGCCGTCCTCTACCTCACCGATGTCTTCGGCATCCAACTGAACGAGAACAAGCTGTAAGAAAGAAAAAGCCCTGACTCCCCCAAAACAAAAGACATGTCTACGCCAAGAAAACAAAACCCGCCTAACAAAAGCACCACAGTCTCGCCGACAGCTTCTCCCGCGCCGGCTTCCTCACCGTAGCCCCCGACCTCTTCGCCGGCTCGCCCGCGCCCTCCGATCTCAACCAACCGGGCTGGGACATCCAGCAGTTCCTGGCCGACAACGGGCCCGAGACCGTCGACGCCCGCATCGAAGAGGCCATCGCGTACCTTCGCGACGAGCTGGGCGTGAAGCGCTTCGGGGTTACGGGGTACTGTTTCGGCGGACGGTTTGCGTTTAGGTTCGGGGCTGAGGGAAAGGGTGCTAGTGCGGTGTTTGCGGCGCATCCGAGTAATTTGGGGGATGATGAGATTTCGAACGTTACGGTTGCTTCGAGCATTGCTTTTGCCGGTGAGTTGGTTTCTCTCATTCTTCTTATTTCTTTCTCGTCTGCTAATGTCTGTGGTTTTCCCCGGTAGAAACTGATAGCTTGCTCACTGCCGATCGCCGGGTCGAGATCGAGGGTCTGCTCAAAGATGCCGGCGTCCCCTATCAGCTGAGCTTGTACAGCAGCACCAACCACGGCTTCGGCGTTCGTGCCAACTTGTCGAGCCCCGAGGAGAAGTTCGCCAAGGAGTCAGCCTTCTTCCAGGCTGTTAGGTGGTTTGACCAGTGGGCTTGAGGGGACGCTTATGTGCTCGGTGGCAGGATAGGATGACTAGGATGTGTATTGGATTCGTCGTTGAGAGTTCTACCCTACTTCTGCGGCTTTTCTTTTCGGATCTGTATTATGTTCACGGTAGATGCTGTCTAAGTGAGGCTCTATGAGCGTGGAACCGGTCGCTCTGACGTGACATCGAGACGATGGGCCTAAGAGCACCGCAAGAGAAGAAGTGTATGGTGAACGCCGGGACGAGTTCTTAGTTCATGGAGTGTAAGCGTCTGTAAAATCCGTCCTCCAAAAGCCGAGAGCGAGGATTTAGAATCCTCGAAGAAGTTGCAACATAACTTTAGGTGGAGGTGTCGAGGGTGCCGCTTTTGTCGGATGAGACTAAACGCACGTTCGAACTCGCCTTTACCTTAACCACGGAGTAAATATCGATGACTCCTCTAGATCACTGGTCGTCTCATCTCGACCGCTAATCGAAGGGGCTCCGGTATCCCTTGAGGGTATATGAGCGTCAGACTGAGATGGATGGCCATGTGCGTCGGCAGCTGCATCTTCGGATTACGTTTCCGGATCGAGCCCACTTCCAGTCTTCGGGGTGCGAGGTGCCCGTAGTTGCGCCGTCAGATCCCCAAGAAGCAACGGCAGGTCCTTGACGAGATTAAATAGCGCCCCCAGGACGACCAGGCCTAACGCGCACATGGGCGCTAGGATGGCAAAGGCGGTGAAGCCGTACGACGCCCGCTGGAAGGCGGCGTCTACCCGCAGCCGTTCCGTAGCGAGGCCGACCTGCATCGCGGTCAGCACCAAGACGATGAAGACGGCGGAAGAGCCCATCCAGGCGAGGTTGTCGCGGAAGAGGCTGCTGTAGTTATTCCTGCCGCGGAGGTACGGGTTGAGGGGCGGGAGGCGGGTGAGGCGGTGGATGGCGTTGATGCGGGACAGGCGGAGCTCAGCGCGCAGGAAGCGCGGGTGGACGCTGTCGGGGTCGTGCTTTCCGAGGAGCTCCCTAGCCAGTTCCTTCCACGCTGCCCATTCGATGGTCGAGTCGTCTGCCTTGCGAGGCAAGAGGCGCGTTTCGTTGGCCACGAAGAAGTCGGTCTCTGACGATACGAGACAGGCGTACGTGTAGAGGAAGCCCAGGGCGACTCTCCGCGGGTCCGCGCGGCACGAGGGCGGCAGGGGATCTCGGCACGCACAGCCATCAGGACACTTCAGGTGGCTCCGCCCAAAGCCAGGATCGAGAAGAAAGCTCGGAACGGGCTTGAGAAAGAGCCTCCCGTCGCCGGCCCAGAGGAGGTGCAGGTCCATCCGGTCGGCGACGACGATCCGTCGGCCCATGGCGACCAGCAGGTGCAGCTGCGTGGCGGGGCGCCGTGAGCCGGCAAACCAGAGATGCTTCCGCATCTCGCCCAGGTCTCCGAGGGACAGTTCCGTGTCTAGGAAGTGTGCCACGTCGTGAGCTGGATTGCCGACGATGCGGCGCTTCCTCCTCCCGGCGCCCTCATAGTAGTGGTAGGAAGCCGGCAAGGCATCCGCGGTGCCATTCGGGCTCCCAAGCACCTTGGTTGCGAGCTGGAGCGCACGTTGTTAGAGCGTAGGCAGAGACACTTTCGAACGCCGTTGCGGCTGCCAGCTTACCGGCCAGAGTCGGGGGTCTTGCGGAGCCATGGAAGCTGCGCCGCACGGCCAACAAGGAGCTGCTCAAGGTCGGATCGAGAAGGCGTCGCGGCTCTCGGCCTTCGCCTTCCAGAATCGCATGGAAAATGGAGCGACTGCACGTAACCTGTTAGCGGACGGGCCAGCCCATAACGACGGATGGAGACTGGACTCTGTTGCCTTACAGTCCGTCCTCCGTTTCCGTCGTCTTGTGTTGACGCCGGGAGCGTCAAGCACGAGGAACGACGCGACCTGACGCTGTTGACAGGTCTTGCTGGATGGGTTCGTGTGGGCCGAGGAGGTTTCGTCGGGTCGCGCCCACGCGCCGCAGCTTACGCGATTCGCGGTCGCAGAAGTTAGTGATCGGTCCTGGATGTTGCGGCCCGACCTGATGGGCTTGGAAATGATTGGATGTAGACGCGCTGGTGGTGCAGCGTGGTTCAGCTTCGCCGCCTGGCGACCCCGCAATGAGAGCCTCGTCGACAAGGGTTCCAACGTCGAGCCCAAGCATTCTGCACTTCGTCGCGCACGAAAAGCAGTTTCATGTCAGACACCCTCTTTGATCCATCACCAGCTGCCATCTCACCCACTAAACTACTTGCTTGGCTGGAACGCTGCCATTTCCGCCATCCTAACACCGTCTTTCTAACTTACTCCGATCATCTACCAACGGCTTTGTACAGTTCTCCTACCACCGCAAGAAGCAATTGATGTCGGGTCCAGCTGCGAGACCATGAAAACCCTAAGGAAGCTCTTGAAGGATGGGACAACGAATATAAAAGAGAGCCTAACTAGGAACCGCAGCGCCCCGCATGAGCCATTACCGCCAGGTATAGTGCCGGGGCGTAGTGCCCTCTCAACATCTCCCAAACTCCAATCTGCTAACTATTGATCGAGATTTAATAGATAGCATAATTCCGGTTGATGCGAGCCCGCCTGTTTCCGGGTCCCTGGTAACAACCCCAAGTGCTTCGCCTCGTGGGCTGGCCACCGTGCCCATTTGGGAGGTTTCGAACGCCTCTTCCAATGCTACCAATATTCACGTTCCGCCCTCCATCCCACAAGCGACCAGGTCTCCCGTCGAGGCCGACCCCGGAACCAATGCCCCAATTCGATCCACAGAAACAATGGAACAGGTCCCTCTTCGTCTCGTTAGCCGTCCCCAGAACAAGGCTGAATCGGACGTCGACATCATTGCCATCCATGGCCTGGATACGAAATCGCCCGATACATGGATCTGGAAGCCCCAAGGCCGCAATGGATCCAGAGACGGCAACAGTTCCCATGTATCCGAAGTCAACTGGCTGGCGGATCAGGGGATGCTGTCTGCAGTGGTGGGGCCGGCGCGAATTCTCACCTGCGACTGGCCAGCCGGTCTTTTCGTAGACCAAGATACAATCCAGATGACAATCAAAGAGCTTGCCAGAGGCTTGCTGTTGAGTATACAATCTGAACGTCATAAGAAAAAAGATCGGCCGATCCTGTTTATCGCCTCATGCCTCGGCGGTATTATCCTTATCCAGGCCCTGGTTATCGCCGCCAAGCAGAATAGCGACTATCATTCTCTGTGGAGAGCGACTAGGGGCATCGTTTTCCTTGCTACGCCGTTCAGAGGGACCGCGTTCCAGGATATCGCTGGAGTAGCGGTTACATTTATGGAACGCTGCGCAGCCCTCGCAGGACGATCAGTAACAACTAAACTGCTGGATAGCGTCAAGGAGTCGACGCAGTTTCTCGAGGAGCTCGTGGGGGAGTTCACGCACGAATACCGGCAACGCGACACCTGCCAGATGGCTATATTCTATGAAAAAAAGAAGAGCAACCTTTTGCGAAAGGGGTTGCCTCCTTGGTTGGCGGACAGGCTCAAGGAACCAAAGCTAGTAAGTTGGAGCTCTTGAGATATAAGCTGGGTTTCTAACATCTCTCTAGTTGGTTGATAGTAGCTCTGCCCGTCTCGATATCGTCTTGGATCCAGTTGCCCTTGACCGGACCCATGTCCTCATGAACAAATTCTCGGGGTCTGACGATCCGGGGTACATTGCTGTTACCAGGAAGATTGCAATAATCCTGCGTTATATTCGCACAAATTCAGTGCTCGACGAAGCGGACGCCTGGATACGCGACAAACACTACACTGAGGGCAGGCTCAAAATTGAACGACTCTCGGGCGACCAGCTGCCAATAGATCAGTGCTATATCAATCTCGCCATTGTGGAGCAGCCCGGCCGCGATGCAGCCCGCTCCGAGGAAGGACCAGAAAAAGGAGATACACCGCTTCAGTCCTCCCCGTTTTCACTCCATGCTCGACTGAAGACCGAGACACCGGACAAGAACATTCAGGTCGAGCTGCCGACCCTCTTCAACCCACGCAAAGGTCGCCACGGCCATGAGACAAAACCAAGAAGAATCTTGATCCGAGGACGAGCCGGAGTTGGGAAGACTACCTTGTGCAAAAAGATTGTCCATGATTTTATCCGCGGCACATGGAACGACTTGTTCGACCGCATACTCTGGGTGCCGTTGCGGAGGCTGAAGACTTGGAAACCCCTAGAATGCGACCTTGCAGAGCTCTTTTACCACGAGTATTTCATCGAATCCAGCAAGGGCCGGCTCCTCGCTGAAGAATTATGGCGTGCTATCGAGGGTAGAAAACGTGGGAAAACCCTATTTATCCTCGATGGTCTGGATGAAGTAGCCCGGGACCTACACTCCGACGACAGCATGTTCCGGCTTCTCACAACTCTTTTAAATCAGCCCAACGTCATCATCACGTCTCGCCCATACGGGTCGCTTCCGCCTGATCTTCACCCTCTCGACCTCGAACTGGAAACGATCGGGTTCTACCCAGATCAAGTAAAAGAGTACATCGAAAAGACGCTCGGCGATCGACGGAAAGTCGTCGAGATTCAGTCGTTTCTTCAACATCGTTTGCTCGTTCAGGGTCTCGTGCGGATCCCCATTCAACTGGACGCGCTCTGCTTTACCTGGGATGAAGGCTTCAGTCGCAACCCTATGCTACAGACCATGACGGCTATATACCAAGCCATCGAGCATCGGTTGTGGAAGAAGGATGTCTTGCGATTGGAGAAGAAAGATAATGGAGAGCCGGTGACCTATTCTCATATCCAGGATTCTGATCCGTCCGAGATCGAAGACATCGTCAAGGATGAGATTTATTTTCTTGAGGGCCTTGCCTTTACTGGACTGCATAACGATGTAATAGACTTCGAGGCAAGGCATCGGAGGGATATAGCTAGGAATTATAAACCCCTCGCGACGACTTTCTTAGTCGATAAGACTCTCCCACGCCTCTCTTTCCTCCGAACGTCAGATCCATCCGCTGAACACAGCAGCCGAAGTTATCACTTCTTACACTTGACATTCCAAGAGTATTTTGCGGCACGGTATTTTGTACGGCAGTGGACATCTGGGGGGCAGCTCACCTGTCTAAAACTAAGCAGTGGACAAGAGAGAGCCATTGCTAAAGGCGTCCGAGAGACCAATGCTGAAGAATTCCTACGGAAGGAGAAATACAACGCACGCTACGACATTTTTTGGCGTTTCGTCGCCGGCTTGCTTCAAGCCAATGGCGGTGATGCGCAACTCTACCGCCTCTTCCGCACGATCGAGGACCAGCCGCGCGACCTCTTGGGTCCAGTGCATCAACGGCTGGTCATGCACTGCCTGAGCGAAGTGGTTCCGTCGCAGGAGACCTCAAATTTTAACAGGCTTCGAGAGCATCTAGAAGGTCAATTAAAGCAGTGGCTCTCGTTTGAATGCAACTTTGAATTCAACGGACGAGGACTTTCACAGTTAGCAGCCGAGATGGAATTCCCAGAACCAATCCTGAAGGATGTCTTACAGAATGAATCTGAGGACGTACAAATGAAAATTCTAGGCGCGCTGACGGCAAGACCAAAACTTTCACCAACCATCATGGGGTATGCAGCTTCCTGTTTGGGAGACAACATTTCAGGAAGCTTAAAGAAAGCAGCACTCACAGTATTCGAGCGTCCTCGTGAAGATTTGCCGGAGGCCGTCCTGCAAGGGCTCACGGCACTACTGAAAGATCCCGACAGTCATGTCCGGTGGCAGGCGGCAGCAGCCTTGGGTAAGCAGCCAGTACTGCCCGAAGCCATCCTGCAAGGGCTCGCGGCACTGTTGAAAGATCCTAATAGTCATGTCCGGTCTGCTGCAGCAGTAGCCTTAGGTTGGCAGTCAGCACTACCTGAGGCCATCCTGCAAGGGCTTGCAGCACTATTGAAAGATCTTAATGGGGTTGTCCGGTATAGCGCAGCAGAGGCCTTAGGTCAGCAGCTGATACTGCCTGAGGTCATCCTGCAAGGACTTGTGGCACTATTAAAAGATCCCCATAAGGGTATCTGGTGGTGGGCAGCGCGGGCCTTAGGTAGGAAGCCAGCGCTGCCTGAGGCCATCCTGCAAGAGCTTGTAGCATTATTAAAAGATCCTAATGGGGATGTCCAGTCTGCAGCGGTGGCAGCCTTAGGTCAGCAGCCAGCACTACCAGAAGCTATCCTGCAAGAGCTTGTAGTACTATTGAAAGATCCTAATAGGGATGTCCGGTCTTCAGTGGCAGTAGCCTTAGGTCGGCAGCCAGCACTGCCCGAGGCCATCCTACAAGAGCTTGTCGTACTATTAAAAGATCCCGATAAGGATGTCCGGCAGGAGGTGGCGAGGGCCTTGGGTAGGCAGCCAGCGCTGCCTGAGGCCATCCTAGAAGGGCTTGCAGTACGATTGAAAGATCCCAACTGGGATATCTGGTCTATAGCAGAGGTGGCCTTAGGTTGGCAGCCAACGCTGCCTGAGGCTGTCCTGCAAGGGCTTGCAGCACTATTAAAAGATCCCAACTGTCATATCCAGTATAGGATAGCAGTAACAGAGGCCTTGGGTAAGCAGCCAGTACTGCCCGAAGCCATCCTGGAAGGGCTCGCGGCACTGTTGAAAGATCCTAATAGTCATGTCCGGTCGGCGGCAGCGGCAGCCTTAGGTCAACAGCCAGCGCTGCCCGAGGCTATCCTCCTACAAGGCCTTGCGGCACTATTGAAAGATCCCGACAGGGATGTGCGGTGGCGGGCGACGCGGGCGTTAGGTAGGCAGCTGGTGCTGCCTGAGGCCATCCTGGAAGGGTTTGTGGCAGTATTGAAAGATCCTGATGGTCATGTCCGGTCGGCGGCAGCGGAGGCCTTGCGTCGGCTGTCAGCCTTACCAGAAGAAAGATTTAGTTCTTTTCTTCTTAGAATGGACAGTCAACCTTTTAATAACTTATACAGTGTTTGGTTGCAGAGAAGCTTTTCGGATCATCTAACATGGTATGTTGAGGGCAAAAACTCTAGCATCAATATGCCAGAGGGAAGCAAGAACGTTCCTTTTGATCAGTTGGAGAGGAGAGTCCAAGAAGCGCGGGCATCCTTGAGGGCTCCTCCTCTTCTTGATGATTTATGATAATATATTTGGTCCTTTATTGAACAGAGGGGTCTGGGGGGAGCGACTACTTTATACTTCTGTTTTATCACCCAGAGCTAGGAATCTCGTCCAAGCTTCTACGATGTAGGGGCCATCCCGCATTTGCGGCATCCATTTGGTTAGTGGCTTGCTCTTCAAGTGTAATAGAATACCGTGACCTTGTGATTCAGTCAGATACCCGAGGGGCTTTAGAAGGGCTCTCTGGCGATGTGCAGTTTGGGTGGCAGCAGACGACCATGTGTACCAATATCTGGTATAACTATTGAATGCCGTGACCCATGAAGGTACCCAAGACGTTACAGAGAGAGTATGTTGGAAATGTGATGAATCTTCATTTGTGACACTACCCGACTCCAACGCCGCAGTTGCCTACTATCAAGGCTGGAATAGGCATGGGGCTGCTCGCATCGGGTAGGGGTAGTAAAGTTGAACCGAGCAAGGTAGCGTTTAGCAAAGTACTTAACACAACTAGTGTTTATACTATGTACTGGTGTCCTAGCCTAACTGTATTGTACGGGCCTTTTTCAGTCAGGACGCAAGTATTTCATGAACCGCCTCTCTAGCATATTGGCCCTCCAGTCTCCTAGCTTCAATTCGACCTCTCTTACTGCAATGGCTACACGAATCCATGTGAAATGCGCGTCCGAGACGATTCCCAGCAGGCTTTATCGCAAGGGTGTGAATCCCCTGCGAGGTACGTTCATCTCTCTTTAGCTTCCAGCAACCCATTTCTTCCAGGTAAAGGCACGTGAAAGGCATCGCCACGGAGTACTTGTAAAGTCCAAAAGGACAAGTGTCTCATAACGAGGCAGGGCTCTGCAGGTGTAGCATGTTGCCTCGCGTTCAAACTGGATAAATCCTTCCGTTTCTATTTTCAGCATCTGTCTGCCCGCTATCCCGGCGATCGTGGAGGTGGGCATGGGTATGGACAACTGGAGCGCAGCTCCTTCCCCGCCAACACCTGCCGTATAATCCTGGTCGGTAGTGGCATGGTTGGACGCTTGTAGAAACGGCCGCACTAGATGACGCATTTTGCTCGTACGAGGAGGGTCAAGAACGCCGAGAAGTGTGAGGAAGGCCAGCCGCGATTCCCGGATTCGACACGACGTTGGTCTCGACCTGTGCAAGCGTCATTCCCCTGCTCTTCAACCCCACTTCCAGGTGAACTGGTAGCTGCCTTTATGTAGTTATTGTCAGTTCTCGTCGCTCACCGTCGATCCTCGTTATCGAAGCTGGTTGCTTGTCAACTGTTCATCGAGAGCGTTTAGATTGGAAGGACAATGGAAGTGATACTGCGGCATGAGTCACAATTTCGATTTTAGCGAAAGTTCGTTAAGATGTTAGGATGTCTGGAGTACCTCTAATTACCATCCTCCCTTTCCTCCCTCTCGGATTGGAGTGACATGAAAGCTTGACTGGAATATCGCTGCTTGACAGGTTGTGCTGGCTGCCAAAGTTGGGTGAAGTCTGCGCCCGTCAAAGCTCGGCATTGACGCTCTCAATTGCGGCATTTCCGCGATTGGTTCGGATATAGCATTTCCGAAATTGAGGGCTCCAACGAGGCCGGGGAGGCACGGTGATGAGAAGTTGTATCGGCGTGGAATCGAAGACAAGCTTGGGGAGAGAAGTAGTACTTGATATTTCTACGACTCACACCGAAAATAGGACAGGGTGGGGCCGCGACGCCGGCACGTGACGAAATTTGGAGGAATCAGAAATCGAAATTCCGCATCTCCATCCCGTCCTCAGTGCAACAAGTCCGCTTGCAAGCTTCCACTTCCCTGATATACTGCCCCAAAATTGGGGTATGGCTAATGCTAGGGGCTAAATCTGCTCAACCACAGCGTAAGACGATTCCAGCATGGTCTACTGATGCGTACGACGGCATCGGCCGCTCACGGCCATTTCCGAGGCTTCATATTTTGCAATCACTTCACGTCCAAAATACTGTTCATTAATGTAAAATATCGATTGATCCCACTAAACCGTTTCCCTATTATTATATACCATCATATCCTCCGGATCCGTTGCATACGTCCAGTCGTAAGATCGTGCCCTTCCGGCCAAGTCTGGCAAATCCTTATCAAACGCCTTCTTTCTGGGGCTCGAGACCGGAGGATTGGGATACTCCTCTGTCACAGACGTGACGTCTATTTTCCCCGTCTTGCGAATAGTGAGCTCGTGTTCAGAGCCATCGTGGTCACTCTTATCATTGATGATATCGGAGGCAGGCCCAAAGCCGGCAGTTGCGGGCTTGGTGGTACGCGAAAAGCCGTCCCGCGGCTCCTGCTGGAGCTGGTAATGAGACGAACGGTCCCTTTTCCGTGAGTGCCAGCCGAAGCCACAGCTTTTGAATAGTGGTCGGAATGTAGCGACGCAGGAGGCGGTGATACCCAGGGCCGCTTCCATTACGGACCAAATGGCAACATCACTGGGAACGAACTGTTAGACTTATCAAGAGAAACGACTGGAGTCAGGAAGGGATTGACCCACGTTGCCTCGTATAGGAAGCGCAGACCTGGCTGTAGTCGTGTGATGTACGTGATGCGCACAATGAGAACAATACCGGCACTGGAAAGGATGTGATGTTAGCAATGGTAAACTCAGAGATAGGATCTGCCGTGCATACATCATTCCCAAGCTCAGGAGACTTGCTATGGCTACCTTGGTTCGGAGGTTGATTTGGACCGACCAGAGTATTGCAATGGGTAGAAGACCCAAACACCAATCGGACAAGGCTGAAAGAACGCTATATACAGATGTCGAAGTGGTAACTATCGACCTGTTATAGCAGCGTCCACTCTCCCCATAAACCTGGCGCCAGAAATAATTAAGGGGACTGCACTGAAACAAGAGGATGAAGAAGAAGGTAATACAGCATATAGCGCCGACTATAAGGTTGACCCAGATAATCCAGTAGCAGATCCTCTTTGTGTTGATACGAAAGAGCAACACGCAGACCGATGCTCGAATAGCGAATGTAATTGGTGGGTATAGCACCATAGTGAGATACCAGGTTCGGAGAGCTCGGGCAGCATCATCAGTTGAAATATCAAGGCTAGGGTGCTTTCCTAGCGCACCATTATGGGACCCGTCTATGACGATTGCGCTATAGACAATGTAACCAAGCTGATGGACCGATCGATATTAGTATATGTAGTGTAACACCTTTTGATTGTTTCGGAATGGGCACTGAAGGCCTACCGCAGCACCATAGATTAGGTAGTCATCAAGCAAATTAAGCTTGATAACGAAGCACTTGATGTATGCTCGGATGAGGACGCATATCCCCGCCATCACGACAAAGACCGTCTGCACGATGAATACCTCATGGCTCCGGTCAAGTCTACCGCTCTTGTGAACGGGCACGTCTTGTGGGATGTCCATTGAGCGTCGGCAGCGTCGAGTTCTTGGGGCATGGACTGGCACCGTGGTCAAGGCTCTGAAGCCTACGTCGTGTTGAAGTTGGGCCCTAATAATGGAGATATAATGTAACCTGCGGGTGAAGATGTAGATGAGCCAGTGCCAGGACCTAGGAGGCGGGATTTTGTGGGGTTTTATCGGCTCGCATGGTATCCATTCCTGCACTCCGGGTCGCCAAAGGATGTATGTGCCTGCACCGGATATGCTCTCCCCGCACAGGGGCATCCAAGGAACTAGTGTTAACAGTGCGTTAGTTTAGTCCAGGGGTGGCTGGCTCCATCAGCTAGCATGGTGGCATCATGGCATGATGAAGAGTCCAGGGCTACAACTAGTACTCACATCTACAGCAAAACGAGGGGATGGGTTATTATCAGGGACAAAACACCGTTGCCACGCCTCTATACTAGTAAACTTTGATCAGACACGCACTAAACGAGGGATGCGTGAAAGGCCTGTGAGCTACTGTACGCAACCCTGGTCAACTCTGCCTTCCTGACAGATATCATCCCTATTTAGGAGTGTCGCTTCCCAGTTAGTGTTGCGATAACGGCCTAACTATATCCCAGAAGCTAAAACAAGAAGTAGTTGCCACCTAAATAAGCTTTGCTCAGACACGCACTAAACGAGGAACCCTGGTTAACCCCACAATTTTGGTAGACACCAGATCCCGATTCAGTAACGTCGCCGCCGCCTAGTTTGTGGAGGGGTATGATATGTCAGCCTTAGCTTGGATGACCTTCCCCGTGAAGGGTCTGAAGTGCAACGGTTGGTGTGACATGTGTGGTTCCCCGACGTAGCATTTAAACCGCCCGTTCGCCGTCTAGAAAATCACTGGGGTCATTGAAGAGGAAGGTGGCATTCCTATACTTCGTAAAGAGTGACATTACATATTTGTAGTAGTAGTGATGCGTGGAAAGTCCATGGTACTGGGACTCATCGAACTGGAGATGCACTATACGACGATAGCCCGTACCGCCTTAGCGGCCTACTACTGCTCATGGGAAGACACCTCTTCACACCGCTTCACCCCATGTCGGACCATATGCCTCCAACCCCGCCGAAACAGCTCCACGGAGGTCATGCCGTATCCATCCTAGCCCGATATGCAAACCATACGAACCAGGCATCGTGAAGCCGATATCCCTATACCCTATTAGCAATAGCCCGTCGCCGAAATTAACACTAACACACGAAGTATAGTAAGCCTTTCTACAGGGGAAGGGGTCCACCGTTGCTGATATGCGTAATTTCAATACGTTAGACATGCCAGGCTCGAGAAGGAGATGTCCGGTATCGATTAGACCCCGTCCCGTAGCAAAGGGTTGCTAGGCCCTTGCCAGGGTATGTCCAGTCCAGTCCATTGACTGGTGCGTTCCCCAGCAAATCCGAAATGCGGCCAATGGCGCCTCCACACCGTGGATACTCTGTGACGGTCTGTACCCGCAGTGCGGAAACGACTTCTATAATGAAACTACCTCTGACAACGTCGACCCAAGCCTAATTAATCAAATCATGGGGACGCTTTGGAGGACACCCCTTTTCCGATCACTGCGCACTCGAGCTGGCAATGGCGAAGACCTGTACGAGGTTTCCCACTACAAGATGGGCCGTCGGACCACCATGCGGTTCAGCCTGCATGGAGCGCATTGGTCTGTCATTTTACCGACGGTGGTCCTTCGAATTCGAATCATTTTCCTTTATGAGACGGACTGGGCTTGGGTCGATGACCTTGGAGTAAATGTATATCGGAGGGATCGGCAGCCTCCCCATTATAAGACGACAGTACTGGCTATTTAAGCACAGCGGGGCGGACAAAGTGGTATGATGGGGCTTACGCCACGGGCGTACGCATCACCAACATGAAACAAGGCTACACCTAAACCAACCAAGCCAACTCCCAAGCCCGGACTGCGGCGTCGCCTCCGTCATACCCACAGATCACGACAGCGTAATCTAGCGCATCGGCGACCAGGGCGACACGCCGAGGGGTTCCTCAGCTCCGAGGACGAAGTCATGAAACTGACAGACGTGACGTGTCACTATTTAGAATCGGAGTAACTTCGTGGCGGGCACGGGTGCGACCTATGCGTTCCCCGCTTACATAGAGTAGGACATCAACAACGACCATGTCATCTACTTTGGGCCTCGAGAAGGGCAAATATGTAAGATCGTGAAATGAACCCTCATTCCGTCAGCCATCTTTCTGTATCATGGCCTCATCGAGGGGCTAACCATGAGGGTAATAGGGGACAAGAGAGCGACCAACTTTCCCAAACCTTCAGTCAGTATCGATTTCCATTGATTGATCCACCGTCCCCTTTCCATCTGTCCTCTGCTCCGCCAAACCAAGTCTCTCAGTCCCTTTGAGCCGTCATGATCTTCGTTCCAAAATTATAAAAAAGTTGAAAACACATCAATAAACTATTCACATAGAATCGAAGAAATAAAATAGAATCGAAGAAGAAAAAGAGACGACCAAAAAATCGTAACATCAAATAAAACTTGGAAGACAAAGAACCCCCCTTTTCTTTTTCCTTGCCTCATTTTTCCTTAGATCTCCTCTTTAGACTTCGACCTGCCATTACCATTAACCGCAACGCCAGAACCCCCAGTCTCCTCCCCCGCCAAAACAATAGCCTCATCCCTCAACCGAACAAGCATAACCCTCGCCTTCCTCCTCATCCCTGCCACCGACTCAAGACCCCCGGCGACGCCTCTACAGTCCTCCTCGAGGGCGAACAGCGCCGCGAGAGCCGAACTCTTGAACACCTCGCACCCGGCTAGCTGCGTCGCCACAGCCGTGTAGATTAGGAAGAAGAGGGCGCCTATGAGTTGGAGGATGAGGAGGGTGAGGGCGCCCCAGCGGATAGTGATGCGGGTTTCGGGGAGGAGGGCGGTGCCGGTTATTGGGTTGGCGGTTGGAGGTGAGGCGGCGAATTGTTTTGCGGCAATACTATGTCAAACATGATGTTAGTGGAGAGCATGGCGGAAGAGTGAGAAAAAAGAAGAATATGAGAAGACTTACGCGTTGGTGAGGCTGACGGCGATGTTATCAGCCATTCTTGTTAGTCTTTCTTTTTGCTTGTCTCGATCACCGTTGAAGATTATAGACTCCGCAATGTGTTGGATATGTGATCCAACATTATTGGTTTCCTTCTTCCCATCCTCCCCGACCTTGCGGACATAGAGACCGCTGATGGCTTCGTTCATAGTTAGCGCCATATCTTCAAGCGTCGCAAAATGCGCCTTGAACACGTCCTCATCGCCCCTCGGACCCCGAAGCTCCATAAAGGCATCGGAGGGAACGCTCTTTGAAACCGTGCAGTTGTTACCCCGTGTAGCATCATCGTCTTCCCTAACCATGGAACAGTTGACAGCCACCTCTCTGTCTGCGGACTCTGAGCCCAACGAGTATGAAGATCCAGTCACTTTGACATCTGCGCGGCCGCCAGATACCTTAGTTTCGTAGCTGTTAAGGCATAGATGGAAGAGAACTTCGACAGCTTCGAACTTGACATTTAGCGAAGTTTCCGAGCCCTCGGCGTTCGAATAAATTATGGGCATTGAGTAAATGGCCGTTTTCTTCAGGTCGTCATCACCATCGAAAGATAGAGTCGTCGACCCGTTCGTCTTGCAAGCAAGGACATTAAACTGTCCGTCCGCCTCAATAACGCAGTTCGCTGCATCTGGTAGTGACGTGCTATATGCCTTCTTCTTCTCCCCATTACTCGAAGTGCTGTTTCCCTTGGCAAGCGGCTTTCCAAGACGAGATGTAACATCGTTGACCTTGGCACAAACTGCCAGACTCTCAAAAGAAGGGAAATCGCACTCCGAAGTCGAGCACGTTATCGGTAACCTGAAAGGTGCCACGTCGAGTGTTAGAGAGTCCGGGATACCCTCGCCGAATCCGCCCTCCTGCTCGGAACCGAGAATCCTAGCAGCCTTGATGACGGCAGCGCCCCCGTCGGTTCCGAGAGGGACGAAACTAGATCGGTACCCGATCGAAGCCTGGGTCACTGCAGCCGTGAGCAAGGAGAGAAGGCCAATTGCCGCACCGGCGCTGGCGATGTGCGTGTGCTTTAGCTTGGCGAGCAGGACGGCGCCGCCAGATGGAGAGCGGGTCGCTGAGTCGAAGAGCTGGAAGTCGGAAAGGGAGCGGTCCTCGGCGCGGAAGTAGTTCCACTTCCACTGGGAGAGAGACTCGGAGACAGGGATTAAGAAGGAGGCGGTGGCGATTGTGGTGAAGAAGGCGAGGAAGGCGTTGAGGTTGAGGGGGAGAGTGGTTAGCGGGTGGTTGTTGTAAGCTCCGAGGACAGCAGCGATGACTGTTGGTCGTATTCGTTAGCTACAACCTCCGATCCAGGAGATGGTAGATGTGGTCATGTTGCTTTACACTCGGACGGACACTTACTGATGAAGCAAAGTAGCGCAACTCCCCACCAAGCGACCTCCACGCACCAGGCTTCCGCTAATCTCTTCAAGTCAACCGTGGCCAAAGCCTTAACATCCAGCTTAAACCCCCTGGGCTTCTCCCGACTAGGGAGCGTAATGCGCGTCCTCGGCGTAGCATCCGGAGTCGAGGGAGCCTTTTCAGCCAGCTGCTCCGGCAAGATGGTGTAAGTGGTCTTCTCCAGGGGATTCCTCGGCGTCGACACCCTCGTTCCGTCCATGGCAGCCAGGTCCCTCAAGGTGTCGTAGCTCGGCGCCGGGACGGGTTTGCGGCGGATGGAGTCCTGAGAGGCGATGTGCGAGAGGTCCTGGCGCGGGGTGATGGGCGTTGATGGTGTGCGTCGGCCCTCGAGTTCGGACGGGGTTGCGCGACCTCCAAGGTCGGAAGGGGTTTTGCGGCCGTCTAGGTCAGAGGAGGGAGTCTTCCTTCCGTCCATGTTGTCCACTGGGGTCTTGCGACCACTTAGATCGGAAGGGGTCTTTCTGCCATCTTCAATGGTGGACTCAGGTGGGGAGACCGCTGTAGGTTCTTGAGGAGTGCTCTCGGACTTTTCTCTTTCGGCTGGAGTGGCATCCTTGGTCTCTTCCTCTGGGATGACCTCGTTGACCTTGTCAAGTTTGGGAGTGTCGGTCATGTTTGAATATCACAGGATGACTAACGTCGAAGTAGTCGAGGGTTGGGAAGAAAGTGATAGATGGCTGGAGAATATAAAAAGAGAGCGGAATGGGAGTTTCCAAAGGCACGAGAACAGGAAATCCCAGAAATCCAGAAAGAGGTAATCAAAACTTAGGGAAAGGACGAGGTGTCTCCTGTGCGAGAACCTCAGAAAGAGAAGGGTGATGGTATTCTCCGTTTGTGTAGTGCGCTAGGCTGTACGCGCGAGACTCAGAGGTGTCGTATACGAGATACACACTCTCTCACACATATATGAACATAAAACGAACGAACCACAAACCTCTGCCTAGTCCTCTTTCCAGAGTAGCACTGAAAAGAGAAGGGCTGGTAAAAGAAACAGGAACTAGCCAGTGGGGGGAAAAGGAGAAAGTAGGAAAGGAATCCCACGCCAGGAAACCGGTGGAAAGAAGGGTTGCAGCCCGCCTCGACCTTGAGAAAGACCGGGTTCGACTACCACATTGTGGGGATAGAGTCTGCTTCAGGGTGTATGGGACGTGGCTGGTGGCGGATGGGAACGAACTAGACTATTACGAGGTGGTGGGAGGGAGAAGAGAAGGCCTTTGCTTACGGTCACCATTCTGAGAACGGGTTTCACGAAAAACAGGATCTATCCAATCCTAGGTGGCGATGTATATTTCCTGTCCCTTCTTTATTGCCTTGAGACTTGCTTGTCGTTCCCTCCAAGACCGAAAACGGCATCCCTGAGAAGTGAGCTAGATCGGAGGGGATGTGGGAAGGGGTGCTGACACTTACGTATACAACGGGGTAGAGGGAGAGAGAGACGGCGTGAGGGTGAGAGAAAGAAAGTGAGACGACATCTTGGCGCCCAACTATGAGCCCAAGGTGAGATGAAAAACTTGCATATTGCAGTACATACCTAAGGACAGAATCGGGGGTGTTCAGCAGCCATGAGGGGCGGTAGCATCACATCACCGGCGCCCAGCAACCCGCCGACCATCCACGCTCCCGGATCGACATGACATACAGTGGTGTACGCCCTAAACGAACGAATCGCAGCAAACAGGAAATGGGGTCGTGATCTCGGCTCTCGGCCGTCCCACTCTACTTCTCTTTCCAGGATAGAGTAGGGGTGGTCGATCTGCAGGATTGCGAGCATTGAGCGACTAAGTGCGGGACAAAAGGATAAAAAGGTTGGGAGGTGCTCAAACGGCGGCAAGCCAAGACAGCATTAAGGTCTTGGAGAGAATGGATCATTGTCCATACATCGGTCTGCCTGTCTGTAGCGGAGTCCCGGGTAATATGCTCCGGGGTAGAATCAAACTTCACCTTTGTTCCTTGTTTTTAATCAAGGAATACAAGTGAATCGCAGTGTTGGCTGCTCTACCCGCGGCGTCCGTTAATGAGGGCCGGGCCAATGGGGTCGGGGCGGAGAATTAAAGAGGATCATAGGCGTGGCTTTCTTCCGGAGGCGGGAAAGTTGGATGTTGATATTGGCTCCCGTCAGGTAGATCGAGAGACCAGAAACAGCAGAGGGTTTCGGTTTCTTGACACCCGGAACTGTACGTGAGCGTGGGTATAGTTTGGCAAGAGTGGGATCCTGAGTCCTGGGCTTAGGTTGGTACGCGAAAAAGCAGCAGCTTGCTATATGAAGACTGCCAAACGATTCCGATCAGCGGATTAGGATCAAAGTTGATCTGAGGATCGCCCGTCCCTTGCATATCTCCATTTAGTAGATGCCGGAAGGGTCTCACTGTCTTACTGTTAGTCTCTACCTTATTTCTTAAGTCCCTCTTCAAATGAAGTTCTTAATTAGTAGTCGGCAGCTTCAATCATCACTACCGCTAGTAGCTGGAGATAGTTCACTTCAACGACCTGTTGCAGGGGCTGCTCCGTGATCGACTGCGATTTCGACCGCGACTATTCAGCGCTATCCTTAGGAATTGCGTTATAGATCGAGCATATTATCTCGATTAATCAATTGGGTATATGAAGACACGAAAAATAGCTTGAATGACCGGAATCACCACTCAAGCAGGCGCGAGGTTGGAATGAACGGCCGTCAACCCTGTTCGCACCCACTTCAAAGGCAATAACCAGACCATGATCCCACCAGGTCAGAAATACACGGACTCCTTCACTGGGGCTTCATCTGCATATTTGCGGGTGCCTGGTATCCCTGGAGAACAACCCCGACAGCGCCCGCCGTACGGTTGACGACCTCCTTCTCGTGCTGGATGGTGGCACAGCAGGAGCACCAGTACGCCGTGCAGCAGTCACCCGTTGCGCTTCCCTTGATGCCGTATGCCTGGCGAACTTCGGTTCGCTTCATCATCGTCCAGCTATAAGGAAACGAAGGGTTAACAACTGTGCTCTCGCAATGGATTTGGGAGGAGGAGTGACGCGAGGCATGGGATGGGGAAAATCTTACATCCAGCCGCAACCAATAGTGCAGTGAAGGGCAAGACTGATGAGAAAGTCCGAGTTTATGGGATTGAAGGTGGCCATAGTCGGGTCCCTCATCCGCTCACTCGTTTGCCCGGTGACTATCTCAAGTATTAGCATTCTAGCTGAATTTGCATACACGCCATAGGGCAGCGTTCTAGTCTCCGTCTCTCTTCCTCTCTGCTGCTGAAAATCAAAGACGGTGGAAAACTGACGATAACAGGGGATGATGCATCCCAGAAGGCAGGTGTCGCATGGGCTGCAGCAGCCACAGAGGCCCTCTCTCCACTCGTCACTCTGCGGAGGAGGGGGAGCTGCATGGTAGGTCTGAAATTGGCCTGGGTCCGGATGCTGAGGATGGGCCATGGCGAGGACTTGTTTCGATTGATGCGTTGCAAAACTCGAGGATGGGAAATCTGATGGAGTTTCACACGCCAAGAAGCGTGTGTTGAGCCGTCGCGACAATCTGATCGATGATGCTCGTGTTTACGATGATTATTGAAACCAGACTATTTCCTCCTGGGAAGAAGCATATGTAGGAAATGAAAACAGAACAAGAGAAGATCTTGTCAAAATCCAGCAGGTAGATCTCACTCCTCCTCTTATCAGGAGTTTCTGCCAAGTGATCAATGCCACAGCCCCCTTGATCAATTGATGCTTACCTCGAAGAACCGACTCAGCCTCAGCCACCTCCACCCTCGGACATCAATCTTACGCTGCGGCACAGGCAACATGCTGGGTGTTGGAGATTCTCTATAACTGGGCCCGCGGAATCCTTACGGGCTGGTGGCATTCTCAAGGCAAGTCGGGAGCAGCACCTCCAAAATCCAGTTGCGACAACTTTGCCCACGAAATACTACATCACTCAACAGCGGATGAGAGCATCCCGTCGACGCTTTCGGGACAGTTCAATCACTGACGAAGGCCTGAATTTGGAATAGAGCGCTTTGTCTGCTCTCAGCTACATGTCTCGCATTGTCTAACCCCAATTGCAAGACGGGTTTAGACTCGAAGGCATGATACAGATCGATGGTTTTAACGTCATCGGCGGTGCAAGTCCACCATTGCATCGACAGCGCATAAACATGACTTCTTTCCGAAACGTAGGAAGCGCACAACCATCGTCCCAACAAAGCTCGTCTGACGATTGAACACTGACGTGCATTGCCCGCTTTCTTTGCCGTTTCTCGTCTTCCTCACCATTCTTTCTCGTGAACTAGACGTCGCCCACATCGAGATGCTTCTATTTGTCTTTCCTCTAACAAGTCTAGACGACAGAACTCCCTTAGGGAATAACCCATCCCAAGGATCCCAAAGGTACCAAAATACGATAAACGCCCGAAGCCCAACCCCAATCCCATTCCCCCGAACCAGAACCATTACTACCATAGCATCGCGCGAGAGATCCCATTAATCCATCATCTTACAATCCCTGAATCGCCTTCAACAACACCTCCAGCCCAAGTTTCCCAACATCCCCATCGCCCCTCAACACACTCGCCACATCACTCAACATCCCCAGCGGGACATAACATCCCTTCTTCGCCTTATCAAGACTTTCCTTCAACCGGCTCGTATGCTCCCACTCCCTGGCCGCCACCTCCGCACTCTCCACAACGCGCGAAGGGATCCCGCACATGGCCGCGCAGTGCATGCCGAAGCTCCCCTCCGCCACGCCATCCTCGAGCTTGTACAAAAACGTAACGCGACGCTCAGCGTCGTCGACGTGGATCCGCATGCGCCGCGCCCGTATCTCCGGGTGGTTCTCGAACTCCGTCGCCAGCGAGTGGTAGTGCGTCGCGAAGAAGCCCACGCACCCGATGTGGCTGGCCACGTGGTGAAGGACCGCCTGCGCCACGGCCACGCCGTCGTACGAGCTCGTGCCGCGGCCGAGTTCGTCGAGGATGACGAGGGAGCGCGGCGTCGCTTCGGAGAGGATCTTCTTGGTTTCCGAGAGCTCGACGAAGAAGGTCGATTGCGCGGCGAAGATGTTGTCGTTGGCGCCAAGGCGGGACATAATGCGATCGATGGGCGTGAGGCGGGCGCTGACAGCTGGGACGTAGCATCCGATCTGGGCCATGATGACAGCAATGCAAGACTGCCCGTATTGTTAGCTTGAAATCCTTTTTATCAATCATGGTTCGAGTTATTCAAGTTGGTACTCACCATTCGTAGAATCGTCGACTTTCCGGCCGCGTTGGCACCAGTCAACAAACTAATCTTTTCGGAATCGCCTCCCAGCTTTACGTCATTCGGGATGAAGTCCGTCACGGTCGTTTGCATGCAAGGATGGCGAAGCTCCTCAAAGTCCACCACGGTCCTTTCGCCCTCGACAAACTCCGGCCGGCAGCTCGGATGCCCGATGAAGGACGACGCCTTGGCCAACCCAACGAGGCAATCGAGCTGCGCCATGATGCGCACGGCCAGCAACCAAGTGCCGTAATCTTCGTCGAAGCGGCTGAAGAACCTCGAGGCAGTTTCCTTGATGATCTGCGAGTGCGTCTCCTCGGCCTCTTGCAACTCCCGCACAAGATCCGTCAGCTCCGAGAAGTAGTACCGTTTCACGCTCGACGTCGCCGACATCTGACGCCAGCCAGAGGGTACTTTGAGAGATTTGGGCGCCTCAATCTGGTAAATCTCCTTGCCAACATCGGTAAATTTCAGTGTTCGGCACTTGAGGGCCTTCTTCTCCTCTTCCAACACCGCCGCGAGCCTGCTCTTGATCTCGGTAATGGCATCCTTGCTCTCGTCAAAATCCGCTTCTATTCCCTTCTCCGGTACCAACGTCTTGTCTGTCTTTGCCAGGTCTCGCTTGAAGGCAGTCCTCCAGTAAGCGAGAGGCTTGGAGAGGTCGGGCATTCCGCTAATGAGTCTGTCCACAAGGCCGTTCCCTCCTCGGAACGCCCCGAGAAGGCTCATGGTGTATTCGATCTGCTCGAAACCCTCCAGGACCTTGACAAAGTCATCTGCGCGGATGGATCCGGCATGCACTCGCGAGATCAGACGTTCAAGATCAGGCATCTTAGTCATCTGTGAAGTAAACTGATCCCGGAGGCTGCGGTCCGCGTTGAGCATGTCGACCGCGTCGAGGCGCTCGTTGATCTTCTTGATGTTGCACAGAGGGTGGCACACCCACTGCCGGAAGAGTCGCTTACCGAAGGGTGTGACACAGCAGTTCAGAAGGCTGAACAGGGTGCCCTCGCTACCTCCGTCAACGTTATTGGCAAAAATCTCTAGGTTGATGAGGGTCTGCCCGTCCAAGATGAGAGTTCCGTCCCTTTGGATGGGGTTGTACGGCTCAAAGTTGCCCTGGGAAATGAGGCTCTGCTCAAGCTTCAAGCTGCGGAGATACTGAATCAAAGCACCCAAAGCAGACATGGCAAGGTCATTATCTTTGGCCTCCTGGAGAGTCTCGGGCCAAGCACCGTCACCGCTAGTGAAGTACTCTCCGCTGTCGAGCTCCCTCCTTGTGCTGTCGGCATCCCAGAATTCCGTCCCGGACTTCCGATAGTTCCAAATGGTAGTAGGCGAGGTGCTGTTCTTGAGGATGCGGAGAGCCTTGGTGGAGATGTGAGACTTTTCAATGATGAGCTCGCGAGGGCTCGTCTGGGCGACGAAAGTCTCAAACTTGGTCATGTCAACATCGTCTTCAAACTCCGAAATGGCAAAGCGACCGGTGGCGGCATCGACGAAAGCAATACCGAACGAAGGCTTGCCGTCGATAATAGACTCCTTGATAGCAGCACAATAGGTGGCCATGTCATCCTGAAGCATACTGCCGTCAACAAGCGTTCCTCCAGTCAAGACGCACGCAAGCTCTCGTCTGATGATCTTGTCCGCCTTGCTGGCTTTGGCGTTTCCATTACGCTCTCGCATCTCCTTGCCGAGAGCAGACTCCATCTGGTCAACCCTCGCAACTTTGTAACCCTTGGCGACGAATTGGTTCACCCACATGTCGAGGGAGCTCTCGGGCACACCAACCATGCGCATGTTGACGCGGTCGGTGAGCTTGAGGTCGAAAAGCTGGTGGCCAATGGTAGCGTCGTTCTCGTAGAGCTCATAGAATTTACCCTTCTTGAAGAAGACGATCGTGTCCCAGAGCTTGTGCTTAATCTCCCAGTACTGCTTTTCAAAGGCCGAAAACTTGTTCCAGGCCGCAGGAGGTACGTAGACCGAGGAAGGATCATATTCTGGGTGGCCGGGAGGGTTCCTGTTCAGGTCAACCATGTTTGCGAGCCAAGGATATCGCTGCTCGGGGTCCTTCTCATGGGGTCGCTCTTTGCCCTTGCTTCCAGATCTCGCGGCAGGTGCCTTGACGGGGCAGTTCTGAACCTCAGCGTTTTCATCAAAGGCCCAACGTAAATACGCGGTGGAAGTAGGTAATCCAGCCTCCACGTCATCCATGTCAATGTCCATGTCAATGTCAATGTCGACGTCCTCCTCTACTCTTCTGGAAACAGGAGAGGCTCTCTTTCGTGCCGGCTGGGGCCGGGATTCGGCTCGCTTCCGCTTCTTAGACTTTGTCGGAGCATCGGAGTCGTCTGACACTATAAAGTCTCCCATTTCGTCTGCGTATCGCACCGAGGTTAACAACTGCCAGAGATCTGGGTAAAACGTTTGCTTGTGCCTTACCATCGTCTTCTTCGGCAGCAGCGTTGCCGCCCTCTTCAACGTACTCGTCCTCATCATCCGAAACGGCTGGGCGAGTTCTATTCCTCCGCCGCGAACGAGATGTCTGCATACGCTGGAAGGGATCATCGTCCTCGTCATCGGATTCGGCGTAATTCATAACCTTGCGTGCCTACATAAAACTCGCGTTAGCATGATCTGTGTGCTTCTGAGACAATCCGACGGATTGGGATCGTACCGTGGGACGATATACTTTTCGCGTTGGGCTGCTGCTCATAAACGGCCGAGAACTCGTCGTAGTCTGCTTCACCATGGCTTCAGCAGGAGTTACGGGCGACGGCAAGCTAGCACCGGGATCAACTACCTTGGGATTCGCCGAGTCGATGTTCTCCTGAGAGCTCGGGGGATCGATGGGATCGCTGCTCGGCAGCGGTGTAATGTTGGCTGCCCTGGGCTTGAGAGAGTTGGATTTGGTGGACTCTTTGAGGCAGTCCAAGGGTGAGGAGGGAGCTGGTTTGGGGTTCGCGGCGGAGGGCGTCGACGCGGATCTAGCAAAGAAACTCATAATGCTTTGCTGTTTGCCGCCCGAGGCAGACCCGGCCGGCTTCTTTTGCGAGGTCGGGGTCTTTGCGGGCGTGCGAGCCGGCACTGAGGATGCCTTGCTCGACATCGCGATGGATTAGGTTTGAGGAATAGGAGGGATCACGACAAGATGGAAAGGCTAGTTGTCGGTGGGAGTTAAGAAAACAATAAGCTAAAGACACACATTAATCAATTAGGATTGCTGATGTTGGGGAATGGAAGCGGGAAGAGGCAGCAGGTCGGGAACTGGGTCAAGTTAAAGAGAAAAAGAAGCCGGTGGACTGGGACGCGGTAGTGGAAAGTGCACACGGTCTGAGACGCGCTCAGCGCGCAGCTGCTAAAGTGGTGGAAAGTGGACAAGGGTGATGTACAAGGGTACGAAAGCACGTCCAAGGGTTCGCGGTGGGGCAGCACCTTGTAATTATTCATTTACAGGGGTTCAACCAGCTAAACGAGCAGTTGATCACCGGGGAACTGCAAGGAGGACCAGCCAACTCAAACCAGCAGGGGAAGAAGCAAGCTCATGAAATTGTGCTATTCCTTCGGTCAACAATCCCTGACGATAAAGAACATTATCAGACGCCTCTCAGCTAATTGTTCAACAAATTACCCGTGACTGGGAGAGGGCTTTCCTCTCTGATGGCCTTGCTCCCCTTCCACACCGGTTTCTGACCTCTGAGCAAGCGTTCATTTCCATGTCCAAAGTAGGAACAGCATTCGGGATAAATGCGGTGGGTGCTCCGGGATGCAATATTTCCCTCCCTTTCCAAACAGGATGAAATGCATCTCTCTAAGTGTATGGTCTATTTAAATATCTGGAGACAGAGGAGGTCCTCCGGAGGTCAGGCATTGCCCCGACCGACTACCTTGCTCAAAATGACATAGTCCGGCTCGAACACTTTCCCGAACCTCAGTTTCCTCGGCTCGGGGGATATTTCATCTTTCTCGAACCCGATCCTCTTATAGAACTCGAGGCCTTTCGTGTTACAGAGAAAGCAGGTCAGCATGACCTTATTAACAGTCGGCACATTCGCCGCAATTGTCTCGAGGAAACTCATTAATGTCCTCCCGAGCCCGGTTCTACAGTTGTAAAATATCGAGAGTCAGAGCTGAGGAAGTAAATCGGAGAGTAGAAAAAAATCCTTGTCACTTACCCCTGCAACTCAGGTTTGAGATGAATCTCATAGCAGTAAATCACCGGCTCACCCTCTTCATAGCACGGCATCAACGACGTGAACCCTTTTACGACGTCGCTCTCGTCCTTGACGAGTATGTACCGCATGTCGGCCTCTCGCATCTCTCTCCTCTTACTACCGGGATGCCATCCCCTCGACGAAGACTTGTAGTGCTCTCCAGAGGTTTCCTCGACAAGATCAAGACACGCCTGGAGGTCTCCTGCGCTGAGCTCATCGGATTGACAAAACTTGAGAGTAAATGGATTCCCCGTCGAGGGGTGTAACCATTGGTTGCTCCATGCTGGGCTTGGATGGTCAGAAATTGTGACTGGGGAGGAAAGCATGGGGGGTATAATGCAAGGGTAGGCTGGCACGCGACCCCCCGAATATTGATTTGTGCAAGACGTACTTTGGCTGTAGATATTCCTCTATGAAGTCCACATTCACCTTGCTGTTTGCTATCTCAATTGCGTTTGGAGGACGTCGACGTCCCATGATTTACTCACGGCCAACTCCAAAGAGAGGGGGAAAAAAGAAGGGGAAAAAAGATGCAGCTTCCTGAGCATCATAAGCTGGGCATCAATCGTGGTGGGTTCAAATGAAGCTGCAAAGGTACCTTCGTACGTACGTCTTGGGGTAATACGCGCGCGACGCGTGCTTGTACAGAGATATTCTTATACGCAGAAATATATTCCTGGCCTCTGCACCTTTTTACGTAATTTACCAAAGCCAAACAATTTGATTGTTGCATTGTGCTCACTGAAGAAACAGCTTCAACTTGTTCCAGTCTTTCGGTTGGAGCTTGAATCCCAGGTCTCTTATCAAGACATCTCTTGACACTCAATGGCTCGTCCGTTTCGGCTACTCTACCGGTAGCCTGGGGCCAGAAGTAGACGTTTCAATGCGTCTTCAATTCCTTTCCCAACGCTTCTTTTCAAGCCGACCCGCCTCTCCTAAACTCAAAAACACCCTCTCCTTTGATCATGTAAGATAGAAAGAGCCCTCATGGGACAGTTGGGCCTTCACCCCTATGAATAAAAGCTAGATATTCCATACGAATCTCAGTCCTTGCTAAAAATGTCGTCAATTGGCCTAGTTTATCCAACGTACACGCGCGATATCACTTTACCGCACCATCCTCCGCGCATCAAAACGCATCCCCGACGCAAAGACGCGAGCAGAGGTGATCGGATACGCCAGGGCAGAATTCGAGCGGCACAAGAATGTCAAAGATCTAGTGAGTCGTGCTCTACCTTTCTCCTCCTCCATGATGTCACGTAGCATCACATCAGAGTAGGGACATTGTGGGCTTATAAAATGTAGGATCACATTCGCTACCTTATCTCAACGGGAAAGAAAGAGTGGGAGGGCATGGAGAGGTATATAGACGGATTATAGAATACAAAACAACATTTGCCTGAAGAAAGACACCCGAAAAGATGTAAAAACCTTGGCGGTCCTCCATCGCACCTCGTCTCCTTTTTCGTCTCCGGCGACAGTCCGCGAAATGCCCATGTTGTTACAAGAATTGCGTCTGAACCCAGATTTCAATCCTACCCGTCTATTCTCTATTCTCTTCCACATCCAGAAATTCATGCGCTATAATCGTATATAGTACACGGTGTTTTCGTCCAATCAATCTTCCCAACAATTCGGGATCGATCGCTCAGCTCTGTCGTTGTTTGTGTCGAGGGTTCGCCTTGCAGATAACGTAGAGATATCCATTGTGTCGCTTTCCGCCCTTTCGTCGAACAATCTACTCCACGCACATCCGTTAGCCTCCATCTACTCGTGTACCAACTGGTATCCTCAAGATTCCCAAGACCCCTTTACCCGACGCATCCGCTCTTGGAAGAGGAGATAAAACTCACCTTGCAGTGCTCGCATCGCTTCTTGACAGAGCTGTGTACCTTCATCCCCCGAACCTGCTCGAACACACCCGTAGTGACAGCCGCGCTCCTCGAGGCCGCCAGGGAAGTAGGCATGACCCTCTGCGTGAGGCCGAGGACCTGTCGGGGCGCAGCCATCGTCGCTCGCGTGGCCGCGAGGGAGAGGGCCCCGAATGTCCGTATGAGAGAAGAACTCATCTTGTTGTTTGTCCCGTTTTGCGAAGCTCGGTCTCTGTGGTCGTCGGGTTTGCGTGTTTGATGCGGGTGTTTCGAGGAAGAAAGGACCAGGTTTTGGTCGCCTTGGAGCTTTGTCATGCCATCCGTTCAGTTTTTCGAGCGAATCGGAGGTTTCCGCAATCGCGGATGGGGGTGTTAATAATCATTACATACTGTGAAGAGCACTGTATTTCCGCTGGAAAACCGACACCCGGATGGATACATTGGTATGTCTATATTATATTCAATCTTCTATCAATCAAGCTTTTGTATAATAAAGCACCCAAGGGGAAAACTCCGGCCTGTATAACCTCAATCAAGCGAGACGAAATAAATAGGTTGGAAAGAAAAGTGTTGTAAAACGTCGCCATCAAAGTCTAACCCGATCAGAAACCACAAATCATCAAGCATTATTTGGAACCTCTGCAGAAATCCACCCCCGGTCCCCAAGAAACTCCGCCAAAAACCCGTCTATGAACGAAGGAACATCTTAAAGACGTCCGACTGTGTGCAATCCTCATAGGGATATCCGACGACCTTCAAGAACTTCTCCAGTTCTTCCAATTCACTATCGGGACACATGATGCCCGTCAGAATCTTGGCGACATCACCGCCGTAGTTCCGGTACTGGAAGAGGCTGATGTTGAACTTGGGCTTCAGCGCCGTGACAAACTTTTCGAGCGCGCCGGGCCGCTCAGGGAAGTTGAACATGTAGAGTCTCTCGTTGGGCACATTCGATCGGCCACCAACGAGATATCGGATGTGAGTCTTGGCAAGTTCGTCGCCCGAGAGGTCGGTGACGCTCATGCCGCCCCACCTAATGCGGCCAAGTAACCGAGCTAGCTCTTCTCCCCTCTGGGAGGCCGGGCCCGTTAGAGAGATACCGATAAGAATGTTGGCAATCTCGGGGGTCGCGTAGCGGTAGGAGAATTCAGTGACAGCATGGGGCATCACGGCGCTGATCAGCTCGGCAAATGAGCCAGGCTTCTCGGGAATGCTGACGGCGAGAAGGGCCTCCTTTCCTTCACCTAGCGTCGCGCGCTCTGCGACAAACCTTAGCCTGTCAAAGTTCATGTTGGCTCCGGAAGTGACGGCGATAAGGGTCCTGTTGGTATCCTCCGAAGGGTTCTGGGCCACATATTTCTTGAGGCCAGCAATGGAGAGGGCACCGGCAGGCTCGAGGCCAGATCGAGTGTCGTCGTACATATCCTTGATGGCAGCACAAATCTCATCCGTGGTAACCTCGATAACCTCGTCCACTACTTCCCTGCAGAGACGGAAAGTCTCCTCGCCCACCGTCTTTACCGCAGCTCCATCGGCAAAGAGGCCGACATCCTTGAGGACAACACGCTCGCCCTTCTTCAAGGACTGGACCATAGCATTGGCGTCGTACGCCTCGACACCGATGATCTTGACATGAGGAGCCATCCTCTTGACATATGCGCCGATACCGGCGATCAGACCGCCGCCACCGATACAGCAAAAGATGGCCTCGAGCTTCTGCATATTCGTCTGACCGAACAGCTCCATACCAATGGTCCCCTGTCCCGCAATAACATAGGGGTCATCGAAGGGGGGAATGTTGATCAACCCGTCCAGCTTCTCTCGTCGAGCACACTCCTCCTTCGCAGCATCAAAATCTGCGCCATGTAATACGACGTGGCCTCCGAGTCGGGAGACGTTGAGGTGCTTGATGCTGGGCGTCGCCTCGGGCATGACGATAGTCGCAGGAATCTTGAGCTTGCGGGCCGAGTATGCCACGCCCTGGGCGTGGTTGCCGGCCGAGCAAGCAATGACACCCTTCCAGCTCACGGCGGGGTCGAGGTGGGCCATCTTGTTGTAGGCGCCTCTCAGCTTGAAGCTGAAGACGGGCTGTTGATCCTCCCGTTTTAATAAGACGTTGCATTCGAGTCGATTACTGAGGTTTATAGCGTGTGTTAAAGGTGTGACCTTGCATGCTTCGTAGACTCGGGACGTCGCCGTGGCGATCAGGCGCAGATACTACCATAGGAGCAAAGCCCCCAACAGTTAGCCCAAAGAGTTCACTCTGAGTCACAAGATAAAAGCAGAGCCAGTATCACAGCGTGGAGTGGCACATACATCTGGATTGCCATCTTCTAGCAGAAAGTCGTCGGGGACCACACCCTTGATGCGTTGCCTTCTTTCCGGCGACGGCGTCTTGGGGTTGGCACTATATTCAGTGAGCGACATGCCGTTGCGCTGTGGCGGTGTGACTGGGCGATGGTCGTCGCCATTGATGCCGTTTGGTAGGTAAACGAGGCCATTCGTCTCCGGGAGAACGGCTCGAGGCTCCTGGGAGTCGGCCATATCTATGGGATCGAGTAAAGAATATCTTATGAACCGGCGTGTTTGTAAACCTGTTCGGCGGTGAGTTCTAATTAGGGGTTGAATTGGAAGAATTAAGAATTTTGGATCCGCTTCGGAGGGGCAGTTTTCAATTCAACAAGCAATGAAATGAAATTTTTGGGTTGATGTATTTTGTACTTTGTAACTCTTTGCTTTGCCTACGAGTCATTGAGGTACTAAAATACTTGTACCGCGGGGCACTATCGGCGCGGTCTCGGGATGTACACTACTACGAAGGAAGTGGTGAGTCCCTGGCAGTAGTGCCAAGTGCAAGACCAGAGTCCCCCCACCTCGGACCGGAAGGGTTCAGGTCTAGAACCAACCACGGGGCAGAGGATTCGGCGACCTTTGTGATCACTCAGTGCTACACTAGTGGTCAATTGGGTGTTGATGACGGGCTGGATAAAGCTTGCATCTCATCAAAGTATCAACATTTATCGTGTGATATCCCCAACCCTCGTTGAACTCCTCGAGCTGGAAATCGTCCGCAATGCACAATCGGTTTCAGTCGAAACTGGAGGTCCGAAATGATATTTCCCCGTCCGCGATTCTGTTGGATCTAGAATCTTGCTCAATTGGCATCATCTTTGAGGCGAGCGGTGTGTCCGAACTCGCTCTCGCTGAGGCAATGAGAAAGCTGAAGTTAGCCTGAGGTGGGTACAAGTTACCTGTGTAAATGGTACCCACAAGTCCGGGCACAATGCAGAATCAGTCGCCGAATTCTGTCGGTACGTCACTGCAACCACAATGGGCAACGCCACGCTCGAAGCTTCAACCCCGAGCTTGTAGCGCCTCACCCCGGAAAGTTGGCGACCATCTGATCGCTGCGAAGTACTCCTTCATTCCTCCACGACGCATCTCGACCTCAGCCCACCCTCAACCAAACAACACCACGGCTGTTGAGAAAATCACAATTCAGAATGGGAGACAAGGGATATCCTAGCAGCTCACTACCGTCGTCTTTTGACGATAATGAGTATGTTCTTGAGCACTTTTTCGGAAAAGAAGAACGTCAAGTTATTGCAGATTAGCTGACCACGAGAGCAGCAAATTCGTCAACGAAAATGGATGGCGAAAAATTGCCCGAAAAATCCGCGAGGAGCCTCTAATTCCCATCGGTATGCGCAACCAAATTTCGAACCCCCCCGGGCCGCCCCTCCTACTTCCCCTACACCATTTATATCCCAAATTTGCCCAACCAAGGGAGAAAGGAAAGAAAGAAAGCAGCTAACTAGCTCCACCCCGCTCCAGGTACCGCCCTCACCATTTACGCCTTCATCAACTCCTACCGAGCCGTCCGCCGCGGCGACTCCCACGGCGCCCAGCGCATGTTCCGAGCCCGAGTCATGGCCCAAGGCTTCACCGTCCTCGCCATCTGCGCCGGAGGCCTGTACTACGGCCAAGACCGCGCCCGATCCAAGGAGCTCCGAAAGCTCAAGGAGGCCCAGGACTCCGAGGAGAAGCGCGCGAAGTGGATTAAGGAGCTCGAGGCCCGCGACGAGGAAGATAAGGCTATGAGGCGGAAGCTGGCGGAGAAGAGGCAGCTGCTCGAGGAGGAAAAGCAGAAGCTCCTTGAGGATGAGAGGGCCGCCGTCGCTGCTGCTTCGCATACACCGAAGAATGAGGGTGGTGTATTGTCTGCGCTGAGTGGTATGTGGGGCGGGAAGAAGGGAGGTGATGCGCCGGCTGAGGGGAAGGAGATGCCGACTGAGGAGACGGCTGCTGCTGCTGCCGGGACTGCGCAGGAGGCGGATGGTAGTGGGAAGAAGAAGAGGAATCCTAGGAGCTCGCTGGATTCCTTGGGTGAGATTATTGGTCATAAAAAGTCCTCGTCCTCTGATTCGTCTGAGAATAAATAAGACGTTATCTGCCAGGTTGGTTGGATATACCTCGGGCTCAATGCTATAAAGAGTTCTCGGGGACTGTACACTAAAGCAATACGGTTCAACCTGTATAACTGCATAGGGAAAAACTGCAACGGAAAATGATAGACACCACACTCCAATATACCTCTCTATGATTTGGCAAGCCAGGCCAGGTAGTCAAGAAACTGGCCAGCATCCCTTACACTCTTCGAGTACTTTAGTTCGAATCATTGCAGTCGACTTACGAAGAACGAGGCGCATGTTTCTTTCCGGTGCCCGACTTACAAGCACTTTATACTAAACTACGACGGCAATATAGGACAAATGATATCGATGCCCAAAGGAAGAGCCCCCAACTTGATATTGAATGAGTGTCAAGAAGCGACCTCCAGGAACCCGCGTCGCAAAAAGGACCTATCGAACAAGAGTCTCTCTATATTAGACCAAAACCCCAGCCCGCATAACCCCATCGCGCTACCAACTTCCCAGAAGACGTTGCTTCAATCCCTTAAAGAAAGGGGAAAATAAAATAATACATTTAAGGAGAGAGGGTCGGGAAGAGTTAACCACCCCACGGAAGGGAGGAGAACTAACTTTCCACAATGCGAAAGTCGGGAGCCCAGGATGCAGAAAAATCCCAGAACTTTTTGTAGTTGTCGTGTTGAAACCTCGAACCCTGTTTCGTTTCCTTTTGTCTCTCTTCTCTTTTTTCCTTTTCTTGTTTGCCAAAGAAAAAACTCCCATAACGCCTGGAAGGGAAAAAACAAAAGACAACCCAACAGGAACCCGCCCACAACACCACCTCATGCAATGCAATTCGAAAGAAGTCGGAAAGAATCCGACTCCACGAGCCGTTGCCGCGGACGCTGCTCCTGTCGGCCCAGAAACGGCTCCCCCCTTTGTAAGCAAGTGATTTTTTTAAGTCGTTTTTGTTCTTTAGGTCTAAATGAGTGATGATAAGGAAATTGGAGTTGTTTCATAGTGATACCAGCACGAGGAACATCAAGTCCTTTAGTCCCACTTGTCGTCCTTGCCGTGGTCGTGGTGGTGGTGACCATCGTGCTTGTGGTGGACGTGGCCGTGATGCTTGTGGTCATGGTGATGGTGGTGATGACCGAAATCGTGGTGGCCGTGGTGCTTGTGGTGCTTGTGCTTGATGTGGTGGTGGTAGTGGTGGTGGTGATGATGACCGTGGTGCTCATGGTGGCCGTGATGCTTGTGGTCGTGGTGACCGTGGTGCTTGTGGTCATGCTTGCCCTTGTGCTTGTGGTCGTGGCTATTGTCCTTGTCATCGTAGTCACTGCGCTTCACCATCTCAGCGGCTTCCTCGAGCTCACGCCTGCCGAGGACGTTGGGCTCCTGGAGCTTGAGGTCGTACTCGGCCTCACCGCGGGCAGCGATGGCGGCGTTCTCGGCAGGGGCGGCAGCGACCTGGCCGACGGCCATGAGAAGGCCGACGATGGCGGGGGCAAACTTCATGGTGGATGGTGATGTGTGAAAGAGTGGGGATGCTTGTGTGTGTATGCTCTGGGGGGAAGATAAAAAGGAGTGTGCTCTGTTGAACGGAGTGTCAAGGAGAGTGCAAGCGTGATAATCTAATGAAGAGTCCTTTCCCCATCGACCCTGGAGGTTAGCGGGCCTTAAATAGACCGATGGCTCTTGGATGAATAAGTTGGATATGGCCTACACATGAGGACAACTTTCATAGTTCTCCTCACTTCGTTGAGATGGTGCGGTCAGGAGAGACTCTACTAGGATGGAGTGTCACCGAGCTGTTGATCGTTTACCTCTGATGTCTCTCCTCATGCTGAATCGTAGTATAAACTCTGCTTAGAGTCGGTTTATACGTAAGATAAAGTAGGGATTCCCATATGAACCCCTAGATAATCCGAACTCACCGACTCAGGAGGGTGTGGTTCTGGACCTAAACTTCGGTCAGGCTCTGGTGTCACACACACCACAGCCGCCGGAACCAGCCCACAGACGCGCTTGACAGGTTTTCCTTCTCGCCGATGAAAGGCTGTTTGGGCTGTTCACGCCACCTTCTTGCGGCAAAGGAGAATCCGTTCCTTCGGGCCGGCATCAGGCGAGCGGGGGCGGACCGACTGACAGAAATTCGGGGACCACCCTAGCCCGTCCGACGCAACCTTTGACTGAAAATTGGCTTTGGACGGATTCGTTCCTTGCAGTGGCGCGATGGTAGGACGCGTAAGCTAGTCCGGTTCAGTTCCGTAGCTATTCGACATCGTGGCTGCTTGTGACAGAGGAACCAAAGATCCATGAGGAATGACTCGAATCGGTGCTGGGATGATGGCCGATGCGAAGGCAAGCTTGCCGGATTTCGTTGAGCAAAGGACACCTCGAAGGACTATGGACGACGTGGGAGGAAACGGCGCCTTTTATAATTGATCCGGGTCATGTTCATTGACGATAATCACCCCCGGAAGAAGAAGTGTCACAAGGAAGAAACTGAGCGGCGTTCGAAGCCCAAGTGTCTGTCGCGGAATCCGTCCAACATCAACATTTCGAATCGCTCCCTCCCTATCCATGAAACCCACATCTCGTCCACTATGTAACTGGAAAGTCGTCAACGACCTCCCTGAACAAGACGAAATAAAAAATCGGAGAAAGAATGGTTAAACGAAGTCATGTATAATACTAGGGTCCCTCTGTGATCATCGAACGCCATTTGACAAGGTTCGGTGTCAATTTCTTAACTTTCGGGCATTGCTGGGATTTCCTCGTTATTCGCCGCAAGAACATCCAGAGAAGGTTCTCGATGCAAAGAGACCCTGTTCTTCTAAGGGTCTCCTCCCGTTGTGTTGGACCCTTCACGATCCCGCTCTTCACATGTCACCTGGCCGAGACTCAAACCCCAGTTGAAACCTGCTCTAGCGTTAACCGGCTCGTCCCATGTTAAACCAGGAGTAAAAGGTAGCGTCGTGAGCTAAAATGGCGCAAGACGGGCTAGCTCTTCCCGATGTGAGTAAATATGCCGTGAACTTCCTAAATTGGTGTCTGCATTCGGAGGGGGAAACCCTTCCCACACCTCCGGGACTCGGATCGGGCAAACACCCCGCTTTGGAACCGCCTGGCCGATGATCTAAGTTACGTTAGAGGTTAGATCTTTCTCTATCATTGCTCTGGCTCAACGCGAAGAGGAGATAGTCTGTCCATTCCCAGAGTCCAACAGCCATACGTCGGGAAAACGACAAATCACAAACAAAGATGGCGAGATCGAAGCAAAAAAAGCGGTCATACAGACTCAAAAGGAAACCAAGTTCATAACGTGCAGCTTTCTACCATCAGAAACCATCATCATATTTCCGCCCAAAGTCAAACCCTGAAGCCGAGTGAAAATAACACCTGAAAATCAAGTACCTCCCTTGAAAGCGAGCCAACCAAACCTGTTAAAAACCCCCCGGCTCTAAGGCCAAGATGTTCGCCTATTTGGGGCTCGCACCGATTGTTTTGTACGCTATGGACAGTCGCCAAGACATTTGATAAAAAAAACTCCCCTAATGTTTCGCCAGTATTGCAAGGAATGAATGCGTGACCAACCCTTCTGAAAAGAATTTTGAGGTCCAAAAGTAAAAAAAAAAAAAAAAAAGATGAAAAGTAAAATGAGAACAGAAGTGAAAAAGAGGTAACGGAGAATGAGACTTCAAAACACCCTTGTGAACATGCTTTGAAAAGAATTGGGTATATCACGCATGCTATTTTACGCCTCAACATCACCGGGAACAGCTGACCGGATGAGCTTTTGGTATTGCTCCGCTTCCTCATCCTCAGCTGAACTGAACTTGTTCTTTTCCATAGACGAACTCTTGTTGCCTTGAGTCTTCGCAGTCCAGAGAACCGCCGGTTTTAAGGAAGCGGTGATGACCTGGCCTTCGGCTTCCTTCGAGGCTGCTCCGTTAGCCTCGCCGTTTGTTTCCTCCGCGCCCTCTCCCTTCTCGCCTGCTCGCTCGCGCAACAGGCGCCAGGCAAGGAGTATATACTGCGCGCGCGTCATGTTCGACATTACGTCGTCCATGTAGCGAACCACTTCTTCGCGAGGCGCTACTACGCGTGCGAGGTTCTCCAAGTGGCGGCCGGATGCCGCGAATAGTCGGACAGTGATGGGCTCGTAGTAATCGAGCTCACGATCTCCGCCATATTCAAGCCGGCTGCTCTTGCGCACTAGCAGGAAGGATGCGACGACTTGTTGAGTTCCACGGTACTCTAGAATGCTGAACTTGGGGAACAAGTATCGATCCCCGTTACCACCTGCGAATTCCACGACGATTGCCGAAATGTCTGGTTTCGGGGCCGGAGGAGGGCCCTTGGACCGCAAGGCTTGTTGTGGGGCCTGGGATTGGGCCCCTGCCGCCGGAGACGCCCGCGACCCGCTGATGGGGTTGCTACTAGATGTTGGTATGGGAGAGCTTGGAATCGGCTTCTGCTCCTTCAATTTATCTAGCATGAGCTTCTTATGTAAGTTGTCCAATGTGGACTTGAGCGTCGTGGCATCATTATATTCCGGCTTGCCATTCGCGATTCGCTGGATTGCCGCCTTCAAGGGTGCATCATCAAGAGCCGCTTGTACAAGCATCACGATTAACGTGTCGCTTCCGGCGGGCGGCCGTAGGTTGCTCGACCTCTGTTGAGGATTGGACGCGAGGACAATTTGCAGTATAGTCTTGACCTCCTCAGCAAAGTACTTCACCGTCCTCCCGTCAACAAACAACTTATCGGCGGACGGAGGAGGTTGCGCTTCTTTCCTGCTATGTTCCTCGTGAATCTGATCGATAACTCTTTGGAATTGGGCAAGCTCAGCCTTACTGGCTTTCCCCTCGGCGACTCTTTTCATGAGCTCTCTAAGATTATCGTCAGAGGTCGCACGCTCTGCTAGTGTAGCAATGACAGCGTTGTTCGCTGGTCCGGGAGGCGGAGGAGGGGCTGCTGGTTTGGGAGTAGAGCCGGAGACAAAACCGGTGGGTGTTGGAGACTGCTGGTAACGGGGTGTAGACGCGGTTTGCTGAGGAGCGACTGCAGGAGAATTCGAGGTTCTGGGGAGGGGAGCTGGGGCTGCGGGCCTAGCATCGGCTGGGGCGAGAGCAGGGCCGCCCGAGACAGCAGTGATGGATGGAGAAGGGGAGTGAGCCGGATGCGGCTTGGAGGACGCGGAGACTATCGAAGCACCCTGAGCTGAAGGAGCAGTTGAATCGTTGTTCGTGGATCGAGGGGTGGTCGTAGCAGATAAGGGTTTTGCGGCTGGAGAAGGCTTCGAGGCTGTAGTAGAGGGCTTCGCGGATTTCGGGGGTAGTGAGCCGCCTGGAGGGCCATATTGAAGGACTGGTCGTACCGTAGAAGACGGGGGAGCAGGAGGCTTGGGATCCTTGACTGCATAGAGAGTAGCGTCGAAAATATGTGGCTCAATGCTTATCGTGACCTGGCCAAGCTTCATCATGCTATCCTTCGGGGGATTCTTCGGGTCCTCGTTGATCACGCCCTTTCGCTTCGTCGGCTTCGTCCAGTACTTCTCGAAGATAAATTCGGTCATCCACTTGTGTCGCGAACGGCGCAAGGACTCAGCCATCACACCACTAGCGTCAGAGTTAGCAATACGAGCACGAGGCGAGGAAGCCTAATAGCGCTTGTAGCAAAAATGTACAGGCAGTCTACTACTAACCTTTCCTGAATTGATTGGAATTCCTTGCTGGATAAATTTTGGGGTTGCGCAGCTTCCACCGTAGGCAGCGGTTTGCCTGGCTGGATTGACTTTGGAAGCTGGGGCGGCTCCTCAGCAGGGGTCGGTTCGGGGGCGGGTGTTGCGGAGGCCTCTTTCTCCGGCGGCGTTACGGTACGTTTCTTGGAGGCTAGATCGCTCCTCGCCGCGGCCCTCGCAGGGAGCTTCCTCTTTCTCTCCATGGCCAAATGTATCGAAGAAGCCGCCTGTACAAATTGATAATCACACAATCAGTCGTCCTGTGTCACGAGGGTGTTGACTGTACAGAAACGATTATTGCGAAGGCGAAGCAGGTCGAATCATTATGGGTTTCCGGAAGCCGCAAGGTTGTGAGATGGGGTTATGAAAATGGTGGCTCGGTCGGGCAGGGTCGAGAGGTGCAAGGAGGAAAATGCAAGTGCGACAAGAGAGAAAGAGATCGAACTAATGAGATGTTGTCTGGGCTGGATTTGTACAAAGTCGCGGGATGGGATGCCCGCTGAAGTGTCTTGGAAGGTGGTAAATGAGTGGCTGTATTACATAATACCGAAAATGGACCAAAATGTCTGCTCTGGTTGGTCTTGCTGTTGTGGGGATTCCCTTTCAATAAGGAGTGTCGTTGACAATTACGTAACCTTGCCTGGAGGGAATGATGGACGGGAACAGCCGAGAACTGAAATTGGCACTGTGGATCGACAATGTCCGAAGCAAAATCTCAGTCTTCCCAATCGTGGGCTAAAAAAAAAAAAGTAGACAAGGAGTTGTGCTTCTATTCAAAGATGAGGCCTACTAATAGTTGAATCTAATTACATATCAGTCCAACAATTTGAAATGGCTCGATGCCAATGCTTCCAACAACAAGTTCCACCAAGTGCCACCAGAGGAGACTCCGAAGTGGGCTGACTAAGACTCACCGAGCTCATCAAATCCCACGCTCCATGTGATTGTGCCTGGCAGCCCCTGGAAAGAAGATGACGGAATTAACCTACTTCGTACATTGATGCCTCATCCTTACGCTTCGAGAAAGAGACCGGAATAGACTCGAGATGGGTGTATCCTGGACGGACGCTGGCCAAACTGCCGCCATCGTCCTCGCGGTGCCTCTCGGCTTGTACATTTTATTCCTCCTCATCGGTGCCATTCCATACTTTCAGAGACTGTCAGTGATATCCCTTCTCGCCTCACATGTCGCATTACCCGTAAGCTTACTATAAACCTAGCTTCGTCTATGCCCATATCTTCAACACACTCCTGTGGGACAATGTTGATAAGCCCGAAAAATGGGGTTTCGCTCGTAAGGAATTGCTAGTACTGAAACGAACACTTGGTATTCGTTGTTATTAACACCTGGTCGAAAAGGAAATCAAGTAACTCCGTTCTATCTCTCCACCCCAGATGGAGAGAAGATATATGCGTGGCATGTTTTACCCTTACCTCTTTATGCAAAGCATGAAGAAGAGATAGCATCATCTAGAGAACCCGGTGTCTGTGAGGATATTACGAAGACCGCATCCTTCCGACTGTTAAAGGATGACCCTAACGCCAAAGTTATCATTTACTGTAAGCCTACCTCGGTTCGATCCATTCTGTGAACTGCCTCTCTGGCCCCTTCATATCCTCAGTGATCTCATTCTAACTCGACGATATCAGTTCACGGTGTAAGTGGATGTATGAGATTCCAAGGGAAAGCGGAAAGTGGTATCTGGTACTAACAATCCCAGAATGCCGGGCATATCGCTAATGGATGGAGGACGGATACCTACCATTCTCTTACGGACACCACATCTTACCACGTCCTTGCCATAGACTATCGTGGATTCGGACGCTCTTCCGGCAGGCCGACCGAGAAGGGCATTATTCTCGATGCCTTGACAGCCGTTGAATGGGTCATGAAGACCGCGGAGGTGCCCTCCGAGAGGATCGTCCTTTTCGGTCAGAGTCTAGGTACTGCCGTAGCGAGCGGCGTTGCAGAGCTATGTGCAGATGATGATCTCGAGTTCGCCGGCATAATCCTCATTGCCGGATTCAGCAAGCTTCCAACCATGCTTACGGGATACCGAATCTCCGGATACGTTCCTGTATTTGGGCCGTTCTCATGGGTTCCTCTCACGTCCAGGTGTCTACAGGCCCTCATCTACGAGAAATGGCCTTCGGAGGATCGACTTGCGCGCGTCGTGAAGCGGACCAAAACCCGTCTGAGGCTCACCTTCATACACGCACAGAACGATATGGACATTCCGTGCCATGAGAGTGATAAGCTCTTCAGATCTGCGGCGAGTGCCACCCTGCCCGATGGTCTTGATCCCTTAGAGTTTGAATCAAAGAAAGAGAATGGCACGACCAAGTGGGAGAAAGGCGCTTTCCGGAGGATATGGACGGCGGAGCCCAACATTATTATTCTCCAAGAGCAATTTCCACATGGAGGTAGGTGTCTTATATCCTCTCCCCACTAGCCGGTTACCGTAGTTTCATCAAGGTCCTGCGAGCAACGAACTAACGTTAAGACGTTGGGCAGGCCATAATCGCATTATGAAGTTCGCCCCCACCTTGCTCGCAGTCATGAGGTCATTTGATGAGGAATAGAAAATGGAGATAGACGATAGATCTGGATAACAACCTGGAGCAAACGCTCGACAGACGGATGGAAACAAGTGTTGATCTTGCAAAACACGGCTTGACTACCAGTGGCAAGCCTGCATCAATACAAAAACGGACTCCCCCCCAACCCTTTTCCCCAAACTAGGCTTGCTGATACCCCCTTCCAGGCTGAATCGCATCACTTTGAGTGACACAGTTTAATGATATGGAAAGAAGTCATCACTACGCCTGTGTACCTTGAAATAATCTGAACAATTTGGTTGGTAAAAATCGTTCACACCCGTTTCAATACTGTATGTGATACCGAATTGGACTCAGATATTAAAGCAGCAAGGTTATAATTCTGCATCCAGTCCGGTTAGTAAACATCGATGCCTGGCCAGATCTGCCTGGGCGATGAAGATCGGCGACTGGCCCAACCCAAGCCATTATCTGTACTGCATGTATCACGTATTTCAGTATATGCATAAATGGCGACCTGATTCTGACTCTCTCGGCTTAGATCACGACAGGATCTGGGTCGATCTTGTCCTTACTAGATGTACATCGACTTCCTTGACCTTGATGGTTAATGTGCCTTGGGTCGACTGGGGAGAATGCCTCTTGGAAGAGGATCCCGAGCATTTTCCTCAGATCAATCCTGCTGCCTATCAAGGTTGTTGGGGGGCAACTGTCCTCTCACACTTTGGTGACGTTGCCAGCAATTGTGACATTCGAAATCGATTGATCCATTGTACCTTGTACCTGGGACTAGGCCTATGTCAGGCAACTGAACTCCACTGCCCTTCCACATTATTTCTAGTGCGTACGATGGGTTTGGATGGTTCAATTGAAGTGATTGATTTGCCCCACTAGAGTTTGCCCCGCATTCGCATTTCCCCGTCCACTGTTTGCCGTGTGCGATTCTCTTTGAAGCTTCTGGCAAAGGTTCGCACACACACACACACACAACTTCGATCCTCGAAGAAGCAAATACTCACGCACGTATTTTTCCACAGGCAGCCAGCCCCGGCGGACAAATTTAAGCGAGAGGGGCAATAAAATATTCGCCCCATTCCGCTCCCAACAATATTCGAACTGCGACCAGCTTGCGACCATCTTCAACTGTCAAGCGGATCCCGCCCCTCCTGCCATTTTTCACCACCCTCGACGACCCGAAACCGAAAGCTGTGTATCCTCCTCAATTGGCGGACGGAACCCACGTGAACCATGCCTCCCGCGAAGGATAACGAACCATCGCCTTCCGGCGCGGCCGACCCCGCCGCCTCGAAGGGCAAGGAACCCGAGGTTGTGAACGAGTCCGAAGGCGAGGAAGAAGACGAGGAAGAAGCCGGCGCCGAGGGCACGGCAGCTGCTGAGGCCAGCTCTGGAGGCAAGAAAAAGAAGAAGAAGAAGTCCAAGAAGAAGAAGGCTGCTGCTGCGCCCGCCGAGGAGGAGTCTGATAAGGTCGGCGCCGAGACCGCCCAGAAGCTAGTCTCGAGCTTGACGGATTCGCAGCTTAAGCAGCTGTGGAGTATGAATCCCGCCCTGAACAACGAGATCACCGCTGGCGGCAGCAAGGAGCCTACCAGGCAAAACGTGATGGAGATGCTTCAAAAGATGAGCATACATGACCTTCTGACCGGCATGCCATCGGGCCGTGGAGCCGTCAAGGACATGGGCGCTTTCAAGTTCTGGAAGACCCAGCCAGTGCCCAAGTTTGGCGAGAAGATTAGCGAGGAAGGCCCGATGCAGGTAAAGACGTTGGATGATGTTGCCAAACAGCCAGATCCTTTGCCGGATGGTTTCGAGTGGGTTACCATGGATCTCACGAACGAGGATGAGATGAAGGAGGTTCACGACCTTTTGGAGGGCCACTACGTCGAGGATGACACGGCTATGCTGCGGTTCAACTACTCTATGAGCATTCTCAAATGGTACGTCATCTTTCTCTGCAACACCGCTTTGATTCGAATCAAATTCGATTTACTAATATGCAAGTCTGTTTCTTATTGCAGGGCAATGTTGGCACCTGGCTGGAAGCCTGACTACCACATCGGCGTACGCGCGTCCCAGTCCCGAAGGCTCGTCGCTTTCATCTCCGCCATCCCTGTCGACATCCGAGTACGCAAGGCCGTTATCACAGTCTCCGAAGTCAACTTCCTAGTCGTTCACAAGAAACTTCGAAACAAGAGACTTGCGCCTGTTATGATCAAGGAAGTTACGCGTCGAAGCAACCTCAACGGAATCTGGCAAGGTCTCTACACCGGCGGCAACATCCTGCCGACCCCCGTCAGCACATGTCGATACTATCACCGCGCCCTCGACTGGCAGAAGCTCTACGAAATCGGCTTCAGCCCCCTTCCTCCCGGCAGCAAACCTTCGCAGCAAATTAAGAGATACCAGCTGCCTGACCACGGGAAGCTCAAGGGTGTTCGTGAGATTACGGCCGATGATGTAGATGCGGTTCTATCTCTTCTCACACGCTACCTTGAACGCTTCGACATGGCCCCCGAGTATACGAAAGAGGAGTTTATCCACTGGTTCGTCTCGACGACTCAGGATCGTGAGGAGAGGGTGGTCTGGGCCTACGTTGTTGAGGTAAGTTCAAACGGCTGGCGACAGTCGGCTGGGGAGGGTTGTCCTTCTCGGTCTATCCTTTCTGGGGAAATTTGCATTCTGTTAACAATAGTTCTACTTTATAGGATGACAACGGCAAGATCACAGACTTCTTCTCCTTCTACGGCCTAGATTCTTCGGTCATTAACCACAACAAACACAAGCTTCTCCGCGCAGCGTACCACTTCTACTACGCCACCGAAACCGGCCTCACCGAAAAGGTCGACAAGGCCGCGCTTAAGAAGAGGCTCAACGAGCTGATGCACGAGGCCCTCATTTTCGCCAAGAAGCTGAAGTTTGACGTGTACAACGCCCTGACTCTCATGGAGAACCCTCTCATTCTCAACGAGCATCACTTCGGCGGTGGTGACGGAAACCTACACTACTACCTATTCAACTACAGGACCGCGCCGATCAGCGGAGGCGTCACTAAGACTAACCGTCCTGATGAAGAGAAGCTGAGCGGCATCGGTGTTGTCATGCTGTAAAGGAAGAAGGAACACGGATGTCGTTCTGCTCCCCGAGTCGTAGCCCTGTGCTGGGAAATAGGCAAGGGACTACAAACGCAAGGCCATTGGAGGTGTTGGGTTTAGATCTGTTGATACATGTTTGCGGGATGGTTTCAAGGTCTTGGAGTCAAAGACATACACAGCGGACCGGCCGGTACATGGGTTGAGGAAAAGGAGTATGAATAGGGGTATGTTGTGAACAGGCCTAAAAAGAGAAATAAGAAGAAGAAGAATAAAAAAAAAAAAAAAAAGAGAATAAACATGAGAATTTCTATTCTCGATCTTTAATACCTTCGCACATCCCAATGTGAGTTTCTATCCTCTCATTCACCCACGCCGCTCTATCCAGTACCGGCGCATGGCCCATCCCCTCCACGATGAGCGAGGTCCCCGGCTTGACCATCTTTATAAGCTTCTCGCCGAGCACGACATCAATCATCTCATCTTTCGTGCCATGCAGAATCGAAATCCTCTCCCTCCCAATCCTATCCGCCAGCTCTGTAAGCTGCGCCTCAGACTTGTGATGCAGCGCCGCGGCACCCAGCTGAAGCGTAAGCCCCCACATCGTATATGCCGAAGGATTCAACCTCTTAACGAGTTCCTGAGCCTGAAACCGCTGAAAATTCGACTCAAACCGAAGATATTCCCCGTCGGGCGTCCCCGGCGCAGGTCCGCACCTCGGCGTCCCCTTCGGCGAAGGCATAACCGACTCATCGGGGCCGCGCAGCCACTCCTCGGGGAAAAGCTGCCTCGCCGTAATGAGGATCTGGGCGTCCATGGTCTTGGGGATAAACATGCTCGAGCGCTCGACGAGTGTCTCGTACCAGGGTTTCGTGTTCTCGACGGCGGCAGCCGTGCACAGGAGCGTCAGGCTCGCGAGGTGCTGGGGGATGCGGTGGGCGATTTCCTGGGAAATCATGCCGCCGAGACTGATGCCTATGAGGTGCAGGCTGCGTTTCGGTGAGGGGTCGGTGGGGTTGAGCCAGCCGATGTGTTGGAGGATGTCGATGCAGTCGAGGGCCATGGCGGAGGTAGTGTAGCGGCGCCAGGGCTTGTCGGATTCGCCCATGCCCCGGTTGTCGAGGATGAGGACGGAGTATTGGGAACTGTCGTGGCCGAAGTGTTTGGTTTGGCGTTGCCAGGCGGCTTTGACGCCGGCGAGGCCCATTATGAACTTTCTTGGATATTAGCTTGTTTGCGGACACAAGGGGAAATGTGGCGGGATGGGCGGCGATGGGAGGAGAAGAGGCGTACGGCAATCTTGATGGGACCGTCGCCGTGAATCTCGTAGGCGATGTGGAATGGCCCGCCGCGGCTCTTGCCTACGGGACAGCGTCCCTTGGAATGGGGTTCAAGCTTCCATATGGTACCTGGATAGGCCGGATGTTGGAGCGTTTCGGCGATGGAGGGAAAGGGATTCGGTCTAAATGTAGAGTGGACATTGCATTGTTAGCATGGTGGATTGAGGGGTCTTTGGTGTGTTGTAACGCTCCAACGTACACAGGAGAGGCCATGGTTGACGGCGGCCGAGAGCTTGGCTTGTTTAGAACTCGGTTTTAAGACAATGTGCTGCAGCTAGACGTTTCTGCTCGTCTTAAACACTTCCTTCGAGGTTTCAAGGGTAGAGACGGGAGATCAGGCAAATACGCCGGTCAATTTGAGGGTACAGAGGATGCTGAGGGTATATAGGCGGCGATACGAGCGAGTACGCGGCAAGATTGCGTAAACATCGAGGAAGGTCGTAAAAGTAAAACCGAGGGGTTTCATTGAATCTATAATCTATTGATTAAGTACTCGATGGATCGGGTCCCTCCTTACCCTACTGTTCCTGCTCTTCCAATTGTCGGAAATAGCAGGCAAGTCCCATCAATAGTTCGAGGCAAACACGACGGTCGTGTTGGTCGTGTTGCCTGCGCTGACCTGCTGGGTACCTTTCTACTCTGTGACCTGTGCTTCCTCCATCCAGTCAAGATATTAGGGGTCCATCAAGTACGTCGAAAGGCCAAATTTAACTGGCTTCAGCAAGCAGGTGTCGTGGCGACTAAATAGGACGTAAATAGAGTTTCCTTCACATGAGGCCGCGTGTGTTTGACAGATCCCCTTCCAAGTGTCTTTATTGTCGAAGTGAGAGTCTGTCCTTTTCGGTATGGCGCATGTCTTTGCTTCTGTCGCACTAGCACAGCTCCTCTCGAATCCAAGTTCGCGGTACAGAGGTACGTACCTCAATTAATATATTGTACGAAGTAAGGTACGTACCAGACGAAGGATTGTTTTGTCATCGACGCATCCAGTCGCTTCACCGCCCGGCAGAATTTTCCCATTCCACCTTCTTCCAGAGGCGAGCTTAATCCCTTCGAAGTCGGGAAGCTTCGCTCTTACATTAACTTCCGAGCCTTCTCAAACCAATCCACCCATTTCGTTTTTTTTTTCTCCAAAACAATAAACATTCATGTTTCCCAAAAGTTAGATAGGGTTGAGAACCACTGACAATGTGGCTATCACTCCCGTCCACCGATCACTTTTCGAGGCCGCGCCTGGCCATCGCAGCAGCCTTGTCGACCGTTGCCGTTGCCTCAGCAAGTTACTACTACTTTTCCGCGAACCACGGCCTCTTCGGTCATGATCGACCATCTGGACTCCATCGAAGTAATGCCGTAAGACGCCCTCATCGGGGCTCTCGACGTCGTTCCCGCTCGACTCCCACCGCTCGCAACTCTAGCCCAGCTGCTTCGACGGCATCGACCGACGAGCCAACGGCCGACCATACGATTCAAGAAGTCGAGGAGACGGTTGTTGATGACGATGGACAAAATGGCGTCGAAGATTGGTATAACGAACCGCCACCCCAACGCGCGGGCCACAACATTGTCACCTTACTCTTCCGCGTCTCGGAGGATAACTCCCGCCGAAACGCGTGCGTGCATAGGGGATGCCAGTGCAATGCCTGCAGCATGGCCCCTATTCGAGGTATCCGATATCGATGTGCTACTTGTGCCGACTTCGATCTTTGCGAATCCTGCGAAGCTCAGGGTCTCCATACCAAGACGCATATTTTCTACAAGGTCAAGGTTCCAGCGCCACCCTCGATTCTCCGTCAGACACAGCCCGTATGGTATACTGGCGACCCCGATTCCGTGAATAGATCTCTCGGAAGGAGTCTCATGGCCAAGCTGTCCCGTGAGACCGGCTTTGAACGACCCGAACTGGAGGCGTACTGGGAACAGTGGACGTACATGGCGAACACCGAGTGGAGGGATGACCCCGATGAGCTCAACCTTGCTATGGACCGTAAAACTTTCGAACGATGCCTGATACCCTCTGGAGCTTCTCAGCACATGGCGCCGAATCTCATCCATGACCGAATGTTTGCCTTTTACGACACCAACAACGACGGTCTTATCGGCTTCACCGAGTTCCTCCACGGCGTTGCGTTCAGAAACCGACGGGACAAACTAGAGAGGGTTTTCCGAAGCTACGATATTGATAGCGATGGGTACATTGACCGGAAGGATTGCCTACGCATGTTTAGGGCCTACTACGTTCTGTTCAAGGGAATGCACAAGGACGTTCTTGACGGCCTCGATGAACAGGTCATGGCCAGCACCGAGGCCCAACAATTAGTGGCTAGCCGCCAGCCGCTGAGCAGTTTGTTTGGAAGAGAGCTCACCCGAATGCCACCTGCCGACTACAATCCCGACCGGCTCCATGGAAAGGTCTACCATCCGAATGGTGATGTCGATCTCCCGTCGGGTAGATCCCACGCTGTGAGGGAAGGGAGGGGAGACACCGCCTCGAGACGACAAGTTCTTAACAGGATTTTCATCAACGATGCGGAATCCGAGGATACCCTGCGAATCTCAGCCCCTGCCCAATACGCCGAGAGCATCTTGTACCCCTTGAATAGTATTTCTGCCGTTCAAGCCTTGCTCTCAACTCTCGAAGCGGATGGGGCTATTAATATGGGGGCTGCGTTTACGAGTTCGGATCATACATCTACCACACCACCCGAAGGCGAATCCCCGCCCAGTGAAGGCCGAAACGGTGCACAGGAGACCTCGTCTCCCACGGATGCATCCAGCGCCGCCACCCAAGGTGATGAGACAAGCCAATCAAGCCCCGATAGCCAGCAAGGAGAGATTTCCAGCACCTCGGGCCGGGGCCTGAGGACTGTTCAAATAACACTTCCACCCAATGGCGAAGGCGAGGTTCACGTTAGTGTCGGCGCATCGCAGCTTCAGGATCGCCTCGAGCAAGAAAGGTCGGCTAGGCGCCGCGCGAGGAGGCGACTTCACGAACGCTGGAGGAGGCGACATTTCTTCCTCGACGAGGAAGAGGGCGCGAGAGCACCGCGTGGGTTTGACGACAGTGAGGATCTCCTCGCGCGTGCTATCCGAGACTTGGAAGAGACGGCTAAAGAGCTGACTTTGGAGTCCGAGGCACCGGTGCTATCGCCCCGGTCTCGCTCGAGTTCAAAGGTCAGATTTGCCGGCGATACAGATGAGCTGGAGACGCGATCCAATGTGTCGGTCTCCTCGAGGACGGTGCCCGAGCGATGGGGTGGGATGGATATTCCCGACGCCGAGCGCGATGCCGGTAAGGAGATTCTGTATCAGGTTGCCCAGCAAGCCTTCAACGATCTCCTGGACGTACTCTTTAAGGAGAAAGAAACTCTAGCCATGCAGGCCGCCAAGACGCGGGAGGATCGTGAGAAGTATGCGAAGCTCATTGAGGCGTACGATTCTGCGGAAGAGACTGAAGAAGAAGAGGAGGAAGAAGAACCGGCCGACCTAGATATTGAGTCGATTGATGAGGAGAGTCTGGAAGAAGAGGTTGAAGAGGCACAGGAGACACAGACTATTGCCGCTGCGTCCGATGAAGCAGCCCAAGCGACGCCGGAGGCTGTTGCTGAGAACCCCAAGGATGAAGAGGAGATTGCTGATGAGACCACCTCGGCCTCGTCGGAAGTCTCAGAGACTGTCGAGAATTCTGGAGAGTACCGCGATCCGACCCTACCTCAATTCCGGCCCAACAGTGCGACCGACATTGTCCCATCTACTATTTTTACCACCCGGCCCGCGGTCCAGGAATCCGTAGAAGAGCCCACAAAGCAAGAAGAACAAGAAGAGGACGGCGGCGCGCCCTCCTCCCCCGGCCCCGACCCTGGCCCCGCCACTCACCCCTCACGCGCCGAGTCCCCCAACTCAAGGGAGCGCAGGCAGCGCAAGGAGATCGAAGAAAGGTACCACGACACCTTCGCCAACATCATGGCCAAATGGAAGACGTACGCCGAGGCCGAGGCCGAGGGCCTGGCGCGGGGCGGCTTCGGCAAGATCTCGTACGAGGAGTTTGAGAAGATTTATAGGGAGAGGGAGAGCACGAATAACCTCGCGTATCTGGGCAGCTGGATCGAGTTTTGCATTCCTTAGGTGGAGATGCCTCCGAAAAAGCGGGTTGTCACCCTTAGGCTTCCCGCGTGAGAGCATTGAGGCTGGCGTAATTGGAAGGGGGATGGACGCATAATGGGGTTTTATTGACCATATGTATTAGTGCGCGTACGCGCCTCTATGAGAATGGGTGGTTGGGGGTAGTATTCTGGAGTGTTTGTGTTTGTATGATAGGTCTTTTCATGAAGCATGTATCTTATTTTTAATCGAGACGAGCCTCTGCAGTTCGTTCATGTGTACCCCGTAGGCTCGCGTTTCCTCTTCAAGATCTCCGACATGACCTTGCTCTGCCGCAGCCGGCCGGGATTAATAACTTAACTAAGTCATGAAATAGAGCTGAGCTTGGTTTGAGGTTCGGCGGCCCTGGCTGAGCTTCGAAAACAGCGCATGGAGAATCATCCATGGCCACATCCATCGTCGGTGTCATCTGGACACAGCTCTTACATGAACGCTATTGCGCTCATTGCCAACCAAACTGAACTTTCATTTGATAACTTCCTCCTCTCAAGCCAAGAGGAACCATCCCGACAACATGGTCCACAAACGAAACATTCCATCAAAAAACATCAGAATAGGTAAGAAAACGAAGCTCCTAACCAGGAAATCGTCCGTCGTCCATCGTCCATCGTCACAGATAGATCTGTCTTCTTCCAGCACGAGCACTCCAGCAAGCCACGGAGGGCCGAACGGAGAGATGGTCTTATGTATCCGGAAGAAGCGATTATGATGCCTCGTCGATTCTTCAGAAGAGTGGCTTGGAGAATCCTGTGTGGTTTTTGAGCTTCGACCAACGAAACCCCGCGGAGACGGCCTTGATGCAACGGGAGCTTGTCGAGAGCTGAGTGTCTTCGGCCGAATCTCTCTCTCACTGATCGTCGTCTATTGATCTTGGTGCCCGGGATCGAAGCATCTATGAGCCACAGAATGCAACACCAACAAATCTCCCAAATGATGATACATCACTCTCCGCCGATGACGGTGTACCTTTTCTGGCCTCGGGAACCGAACATGGCGAAGACCTGGCCCCGACAATCACCACTCACTCGGACAAATCCAAACGTCTTCGTCAAGGGATCAAGGGATTTGTGGCGCTGCAGCTCTTCTGGGTTGTCACACGCATCATCATCCAGATCTACCGCGGCCAATCCCTCACGCGCTTGGAGCTGGCTCCGTTCACCTACATGCTCCGCGCTGCGGTTACGTCTAAGCTCTACTGGTCGAAGCCACAAGCGGGTTTGGTGACTCGGCGGCACTTGGCTTTCTTTCGCGCAGCAGCTTTCTCCCCCTATTTAGATCCTTGCTCGGTTTACTCGCCGCTGTTCACCGCAAAGTTCGAGTTGTTAAGGTTTGAAGAAGAAAATGGACATTGCAGTGCTGAAGAGACCAGCGGATTGATGGTTCGGCCAGAAAAGAATATGAAAGGTTCTCCATTTTTCTAGATACCCGGGCTGGAGGCATCCTATTCATCTTACCTTGATGCCGCAGGCCTCAAAGAGGCTCCTCCCAGGAGAGTCTGTACAGCTCTAAAACCCAAACATCTAGTTTGCCTTTATTCAGGCCCCTAGATATCCCATAACAGGTTTCCGCCAGGTATGAATTCCTTCAGTACACGACGAACTGCTGGAATCCATGGTTGAAGGCATTGTCAATGTGCTTGGTGTACTCGACCAGACCACCAAGGAAGTTCAGCATCTCTGTTGAAGCATTAGCTCTGTCCCCTTCCGTTTCTTTTGAAAGACTTACCCTTTGGCTTTCCTGGAATATTCGTGCCCATATACTCGGACTTGGTTCGGGGGAGCAAGGTCATATCACCAATTTGGTTGACGAGAGTGCGCCACTCCTGCTCAGCTTCTCCGGTGGGATCAATGTGGTGACGGTTTTGGTCTCGAAGGTGAATAATTGTCTTGATGATCCAGTCACCCTGGAGCTCGGCGCATGTTGGGCCATTGCAGAATGATGTCGGGCCCTGGGGACCGTACAAGAACATCATGTTGGGAAATCCCGCCGTCATCATGCCGAGATGAGTATAGGTCCCGTTCTTCCACTTTTCTTGCAGAGGAAGCCCATCAACACCCTTGATATCAATGGAGAGGATGCCTCCTGTGACGGAATCGAATCCAGTGGCGAAAATGAGGATGTCTAGTTCCCGGAGGGTTCCATCCTTGGTGATGACTCCATTGGGGACAACTAGGCTAACCCTATCGTCATGGTCATTGTTGTACACTTCGTAGTACTTTTGCTCCAGGGTAGCCCGCTTCGTTCCGAAATAGTACGGAGGCTTTTCAGGGGCCAGCAGTTCAGCGAGGCCGGGCTTCTTGATGCGAGGCAGTGTCTTCTTACGCCAGAACTCATAGGCGTATTTATTCGCCTCGGTATCTCGAATAACATCCTGGTAGGTAGCCAGCCAGAATGAAAGCCCGCCCTGAGTCCAAATTTTCTCAAAAAAGGCCTCGCGCTCCTCGTCGGACACCTGAACGGCCGACTGGGGGTTAAACTCGGTAGTCAGACCCGCGAACATTTTCTTCCGGCGTTCGAAAAGCTCCTCGTACTCGGCTTTGACTTGGTCCTTGTCCTGTAGCGGCGTCTGACGCATCGGCAAGGCATATGTCGGACTGCGTTGGAAAACAGTCATATGAGATGCCTCCGACGCGACGTCTTGGATGACCTGCAATCCACTTGAGCCGTTTCCGACAATTCCAACTCGCTTGCCGTGGAAATCGATGCCTCCCTGTGGCCACTTGGAAGTGTGACAGGATATGCCTGCGAAGGTATCGATGCCGTCGATGGTGGGGATGAATGGTTTGGCAGCAAACCCGGTGCAGAGGATAAAGTATCGCGCCGTACGAGTGACCGCGGCATTGTCTAGAACATTCCAGTAGTTATCGGCTTGGTTGAAATCGGCGGATACCACGCGAGTGTTGAACAGAATGTCTTTCTTCAGATGCAGCTTCGATTCGACATGATCAAAGTATCGACGCAGTTCGTCACGGCCAGGGTACCTCTCGGACCAGGTCCAGTCCTTCCAAAGATCTGGGTCGGAAAACTCGTAGAGGGGCACAGGAGTGTCTACCCGGGCACCTCGGTAACAGTTCCAAAACCAGACACCGCCAAGGTCGGCGGCGTCGTCGATGACAAGGCATTTGAAACCGGCTGTCCGAAGCTTGTGGAGGAGGTAGCAACCACCAAAGCCACTGCCAACAATGATGGCATCATATTCGATTGCGGGCTTAGAGGCCATAGTGAAGAATAAAGACGATTAATATTGAGTTGATGTTATATAATTGGCTTCTTAAGAGCAACGTTGATGTCATTGAAGATATTCCATGTTGTAAACTTGTGGGATTGTTTCACTGATCTTATAGCCACAATCACTTAGGGCGATTGAATCTACGTCTGGACTGTCTCTATCTTTCCGCAACCGACCGTACTTCGTCTATACCGGCCCGGTGCCGTGTTCAGTATTCCCTTCGGCGCTCTTGTCTGACGATTGCCACTTTGGTCCGATCCCGATCGGGTTAATTTCGAAGACCCGGATCAATTCGAGATGATGGACCGGCCGCCTGGTCCAAAAAGCCTCATCCCGTCTTCAGCTCAACTGCCCCTCAAAATACCTCCTCATCATTATCGCCGGCCTAATTGTATGCCAGGAAAATTGATCCTAATCCCCCCGTGTTACCTCTTTCTTCCACGTGGATCCTCACACATAGGAAGTCTGTCCGTCAGTGCCCTATTTAAACAGCGAGAAGCTATGATCTAAAAAGATGTCTCGTCATCATCTCTGTTTATCTAATTTTGTCTTCAATCTACGTCAAGAATAGTACGACTCCTCGTTTGTGAATAGAGCTCAACACTTCTTCTTGAAAATGGATGAGAACGGATTTGTCAAAGACGCCGTGAGTACGAGTTCTTAGCTCTTACCAACATGTCGCCCACTAACATAGAACTAGACCGAATATCGGGACGTCCAGAACGCTTTCAAGTTCTTGCATATGCCCCCAACGAAGGTGACAATAGCCTCTCACCAGATAACCTGTGTCAGTTGATTTACAAAAAAGGAAACAGTACCACAACCCTGAGCTTGTCAAAGAGGAACAAGAAGTCATGGACCAGCTCTACCGCGGCTGGCTCCATTACTGGAATCACGAATCTCGAGCCGACTTCGCCAACGGCATGAACGGAGCCCGACGATTCTACGACTTTGACGACATGCTCAGCTACGACATGTTTGGAAACACGATCCGAGGCGGGTTCAAGGGGCATTTTGACGGCATTTTCCCATACTGGAACGATGGGTACATGGAGTACAAAGACATCGAGATCACGGCTTTATCGAAGGAGTATGCTTTCTCGACGATGATTCAACACACATGGGGCACTGCTGGTGGTGTTCCGTTCGATACGGCCTTTCGACGCACGGGGATTGCCAGGAAGAACGAGAAGGGAGAGTGGAAATGGATTCATGAACATCTCAGCTTCCCGACGGACATGAAGACTCAGAAGGCTGACTTTACGGCTTCGCTTGATCCACTGAAGGCGATGAAGCTTGCATAAGGTGGAAAAAGCTTTTAGTCTGTCCCCTTGATGAGATTCTGATTGGTCCTCGAGAGTGCAGATATAGCCGAATGAGGAACGCCCTTGAAGCGCGTCTTTACTCCATCTTGATGCGATCGTACTATGTAGACAGAGTAGGCCAGTAATCGAGAAACATAAATAATCGGTAAGGTAATATGGTAATGAGGATTCTGGCTTGGCCCATAGCAATAATACCAGTCTGAAATCCCATTGACTATAGAGATAGGCCCACATTCCCTTCTCGTTCTGCATGACCTGGCAAGGTTCAGGCAGGTGAGTAAATTTCGTCAATGGCGAAGATCGAGCGTGAACCTCAAGTTACATTGAGCCTAGAAAATAGATAGAATTACTGCCTTAGTTCATGTGTCGCTGTTCTGGCTTCCTCTATTTAGTAGTTCTCTTTAAATGGAGCTAGTGATCTGTAGGCTATCTTCTTGAACTAGCTGTCTATATCTTCTTGCTCTCTCTCTACTTCTTCTACTAGGACTACACTACCGTCACCCTTCCCCTTGATGACCTTGGTAGAAGGTAGAGTATTGGCTTTGTCGGACCCCTTTGTGCCCCAAGAAACGTTATGCTAGTTAATAAAGGATACACCATGAGAATATTTACATATGTTGACATTAGGACTAGTCCCCGAAAGCCCCGGGGAGCCATTTGGCCTTGGGGAGCTACTTTAGATATAATCGAGACTCATTCCGGAGGTCAAGTCTCCTGCGATACTCTCCGATACGGGAGAAGGCCACGTCGATGGGTCTAGCATCTCAGGTGACGTTGCGAACAAAGTCACTAGTGACTGAAAAGTACCTCTGGATTTCTTCTGCGCCTCTATAAATGTCACCCAATCGAAGATGATGGGAACGCGATATTCCCGCTGCGGACGCGGGAAAACCACCAGTAAAAATTCCTTCTGAGGCGGTGCCCTTGACCGGACGCGCAGGAAGGAGTATTTCGACGTGCAGTCGGAGTTGATATGAAATATGTTGACAGAAGAATGTTTGGTGTAACAGCTATGCGGCCAAGTCTCAAGAACCCCCAGGTTTCCTCTGAAATGGACTAATGTATTATAATCCGGTGGTATAGTGCTTGACCTTTCGACAACGATAACGTTCCTCCACACGAGCCTAGAGAGCCACTCCGGATGAGCAGGAATGGATCTCACGGGATACCCTGCCGTTCTGAGGACGTGAGTTCCGTCTTGGATATGTTCCAGCTCCCGCTCTTCGAAGCCTGGTGTATGCACTGGGAAACAGAGAATTTGGCCATCGGCGGTGCAAGGTAGGATAGCGTATATAGCTCTTTTTAGAGCCGGGTGTGCGGAAGCACGAATGAATCCAAGAGTGATCTGTACGCCAACATTGGTAACGTGGTATGGACGGCGAATGGGGGCAAGGTAGTCTTTGCCGTAGTCCTTGTCGTGAACGGGCTCTAAGGCCTTGATATTGCCGCATCCTGCATACTTTTGTGGCGAGGAAGCAAACATCCCGAAATACCCCGCGTATTGCTCCTCTTCCATAGTCTGGCAAAAGCCCCAAGTAAACATAGTTTGGTCGTTGGTCATCCTCATGATCTCTTGTTGAAGCCGGATGAACGCCTTTTTGCCCTCGCCATAGAGCAGCGGCATGTTGACGTCAAAGATGCCCATAAGGCAATATGCTTGATCTTCTAATCGCGACGTCTGTCTTTGGGCGGCCCAGGACATTTTCTCAGCCACAGTGCACATAGAGGACTGGAGACGTGAGGGCGTAAATTGGTCGAGGTGAGGTTCTTTAATTCCCGTTATGGTCGCGATGGTCGAACGGGCTCTTAGTCTGTCGGTGATCCACCTCCAGTGTTTGTTGTAGAAATAAACCCCTGTGGGCGCTAAAAGCTCCTGCAAAGTCCATCCTCGAGTGAACCAGCGGCTTTTCCGAAAATCCGAGTTTCCGAATACGCTGTCCGATTCAACATCACTCAAAAATGCGAAGCAGGCTACCGATTCCCCATACCAGCGATACATGGAGTTAATAGCCTCTGAGAGTTCGGCGCTACTTTCCTTGTTGATACAGCAAGTGTCGACCCAGATGTAGTGTACGTTCTTGTAACCCAGGGTGGGAAGATACCTTTCGCGAACGAGGTCCATGAATTGATCAATCTTCCGATATCCGCTGGTAGCGCGAAGCGACTCATACCTGTTATCAAGGCGTTCACGCTGCTTTGGCATTAATTCGTCAAGGACGCCATCGTCTAATTCCTCCTCATATGTTCTTATCCAGGTGAATTCTTGAAAGGATATTTCGTCATCGCCCCATGTATGCGACAAGATATGATACTGAGGAATGTTCTGATCAAAAAATTCCTCGAGCTTTCCCGTGAGGACGTTGATAAGGCGCATGCTTGATCTAAGGGCGAGGCAAATGGATCTAGGCTCCTTCCGAGATGGAAGCAAACCTAGAGCGTCTCCAAATTGAAGCGAGGTATTCCGAATGAATGGGCTACTAGAGGCTGTGATAGTTCTCTAAGAGTGTGGGCGAGTGGGCGGGGCACCAAGTGGAAGAGAATATCTGCTTGTTAAAATGTAGCTCTGCCGAAACCTAACTTGTAAGGCAGAAATCGGGAAATCATGGGAGCCAAGGAAAGTGGCGCGATATTTGGAAATAAGAGGCTGGAAATGAACGAATGGGAGGAAGAGAAAGGTAATGGTTGATCATCCTTTACCCAGGTACAGGTAGAACGTATTTGCCATTTCTGAGTCAATTGAGAGAGGCACAGATGGCTTCCACTATGTAACCTGGAGAGCGTGTAACATGTAATCTATTTGACACCAGGCTGGCCTGAATCCCTGATATGGCTAAAGAAGATCTAGTGTTGGGCTCCTAGCCATATATACAACTACTAGTAGCCCAACGCCCAGACAAAGAGGACTAGGGTCGCAAGAGACTCCTCCGCTTCTCTTTGCAATTCAGTTCCTTAACCGCAGTTGCGCGTTCAATGTTCCTCGCGATGCCGCCCCCGAGAACACGAAGGAGCCAGCCTTCACCGAAAGACAGCGAATCCGGCTCGCCATTCGACGGCTAGCAGATCGAGCAGCCATCCATCGCGGTTAATTCTGGTGGGGGAAGCACCGTCTGTCGTCGATCTTGACCATATCCCCAGCGAGGCTTGCGATGAACAATATAGTGAAAATTACAGGTGGAAATATTAATCGAAGTCCTCACCTCAATGCCATCGAGCCTCCGTCGGTTCCGATACGCATCAATTAAAGCGCTGATCCGTCTCTCCCAGTCCATTTGGACCATCTAGAGCCGGGTAGAAAGATGGATCCAGCGGATCTGGGGAGTACCCTATGGAGATATCCTCCAACTCGGTCTGCCATCCTGTCATCATGTTAAGGAATGGCGTTGCAAAAAACCGGGTTGAGAGGTCCAAACTTTGAGCATCTGAGAGGAGTGTTTGCATGCTGTGCAGATCCATCATACTTATTGCACCAATCGATTCTAACTGATCGCTGGCCGCTGTATCTCCATTTCCTGTCCCCTCTGCACTGGCATTATCTCGGTTTCCCGGACGATGTTTCGCCGAAGTCTTATCCCACCTGGACCTGTTGGCACGCTGCCTTGCCTTACAGCGAGCCTCCATCTCTGCCATGGCCTCTCTTTTTTGCATCAAGTGCTTTTCCAGAGAATCGACGTTGTCTAACAGCGCGAGAGGTGTGTGACGGAATATCGCTGGCAGGTAAACCGAAGCAACGAAAACTTGGACTCGTCAACATCCTCGGCTCTGATGCCATATACTTTGCGGAGAATTTGCAACGATGCTGCCAGCCAAACGGTGCTAGCAAGGAATGGGTTAACCCATTTCACGTGCGCTTCTGGAACGTTCTTCAAGATAGCATAGATGTCGTCCGCTGCCTCGAGACAGTTACGAAGGCCTTCGCAGTTTCGCACCTTTCCGGGTGATGGCGGCCGTGCTGCTGTCCAACCAAATGGGGCTTCAGCAGAACTCTCTGCAAACAGAGCACCCGAGGCGACCTCGCTGAAGGCGTAGTGATGGAAGATCTGGAATCGAGCCAGCTGCGTCATCAAGAAAAGTGAATACCGTGAAGCGTCCAAAAATCTCCCCGGGTTTCTCCCAAAGCTTGACGGCGTTCCCAATTCGGCCCCATCAGAGCCAAAACTTAATTGCTCTCCTCGATAGGCTAGCGTTTCTGGTAGAGCCGAAATGGTCTTCTGGAGTGCGTGGCTAAGGAAGCAGAGTTGCTGGTCGACTCCCGCCGGGGTCTTCTTTCGAAAAACGTTCCGGAAGTATTGTTGCAACCCAGACACCCCGTCCTCATCGCCCCATTCAGACCGGACGCCTTGGAGGTTTCCGCGAGTTAGGGCCTGAGCCTCTCGCATAATGGAGGTCAAAACGATGAACCACGCCGTAGGACTTTTGTTACCGGACCTCTTAAGCTTTTTCCACCGCTCACACGGCCGGAGATCCAGAAAGCAGCTCTGGGTGTAAGTGTTCTTGAACCAGGATTCGTCGTCGACGGGCAGATAAGTCTCGTTCATCGCCCAGTCGATAGCCAGGGGAGATCGCCGCACCGTGGAAGCGAAGACATCCATTACCCAGATCGCCCACCAACAGCGCCGACGCTCTTCTTTGCCGACCCATCGCTCGGTGTCCCTGGCACATTTTGGAGCCAGCGATGGGGCCTCGAAATCGGTGAGGTGGAGTCGTTGCTCGTAGGCAATTCGAACGCAAGAGCCTAGCAACCTCCAGCCTTTGCCACGGACTCCGCGCATTAGCTCATTGAAGGCGCAGAGAGTCATTGCTTGCAAGACAACAAGTGGCGGAACCTCATCTTGAATGTCTCTCATGACCTCATCAACCGATTGAAGGGCCATTTGATGAAATTGGTCTGAAGTTGGCATGTCCGTAGATTCAGACGCGCTCCAAACATCCGAAGTTGCATCGTAAAATCGAATTGAAATGGAGAACATGGATGCAAGCAG